GCAGAGGAAGATGCAGGGTGGTAGATTCATCCGGAGCTCTGAGTTCTTCGCTCCAGAGAGGGGGGTTTTAGCTATGAGAGCCATCTGAAACTCCTGTTAATATATAGTTCTGCAAGCGTGCCGGTGGGCCTTGAAGGCCACAAACCTTAGAAAAGGCTATATGCTTTGGGTCTTGGCTGCTCTAGTGTTTTAGGTTGCCAAGGTGGATGCTGTTCTTCCCAGGAGAGTGCCTGGGGGTGGTGAGGAGGGCGCAGTTTAATTTCTTAGGTTGGCTTCAGGAGATTCAGGGTGTTTTCATTTTTTTTTTTAAAAAAAACTTTATTGATTCCTTGTGGACCTACCTCACATTTTTTTTAAAAAAGAATTATTTATTTTTTCTTGTGTGTATGAGTATTTGCCTGCATGTATTATAATGTTCGCAATCTGCATGCCTGGTGCCTGGAAAGGCCAGACCAGGGTGTCTGATCCCCTGGAACTGGAGTAATGGGTGTGAGCCACCATGTAGGTCCTGAGGAACCTAGCCTGGGTCTTCTGCAAAGAGCAGGAAGTGATTTTAAGCACGGAGCCATCTCTACAGCCCCAGGGCGGAGGTTTTGTTTAGGGACTTCGGGGTTGAGTGACTAGGGTTTGGCCCCTGTTTAGGGCTGCAGTGCCATGTGCTATATGATGACTAAGACGTGACGGAGACCCTTCTGCTGCTCTCTGCCTACCTATAGGCTCCTTAGTGCAGAAATGGACAGGACTGGAGGCAAGAAAGTACGATAGAAATGGTGGCTCTCGCAAAGCCCTTCGGGGAGAGAGGAGGGTGGGAAGCTTGGGTAGGCTCCCCCTCATCCTGGATCTCCATCACACACAAGTTGTTTCCTGAAAACCCTACTGCATGCCAGTGGTAAGAGACAGCTTCCTGCCACTGTGCTGCACCAGCCCCCTCTCAGAGAGATGAGAGAAAGATGTAGTTCGAGAAGGGACAGCTGGCCACTTAGCATCCATGCATCTGGTCTCCTCTCTGGGAAAATAACAGCAAGTTTTGTTCTGAGCACAGTGCTGGGATCTTCCTGCCTGGGCACATGGACATATTCAACCTTCTCTTGGGGCCAGTGGAGAGTCGTTGAAAGCAGTACTTTGCCCCCATTGGTAAAAGTGTAGAGACGGTGATGAAACATGACCCCTTTGCTTCTAGAAGGAGGGACCTTCTTGATCTACATCTATAGCCCATGTAGGGGAAGGGTTATTTGAATAGAACTAGCTCAGCTTGTGCCTAGTTTACCCCATGGCTCTTCTGCAGACATTTGTATCCAAGTTGCCTTGGTCACGACACGCTATATAACCTCAGGGCCACTATCGTTATCATAACGTTGATATACAAGTTGTAAGCAGCGGTTTAGTTTTATGTTTTCGTCTCAGAGGCTCAGAGCAACAGACTGCTCAAAGAGTCTGGCTCTCAGATGTGGGTTGAAATCTAGCTCCACCAACATTGTGGCCGCTTTGAGTTTCCTGGCCCCTGGTCTGCAAAGCAGGAACGGTAAGAGTCCCTACCTCTCAGGTGTGCTGTGAAGGGGCAGAAACAGCAGAGCCTAGCGGTTAAGTGGGCAGGGAGTAGCCTCGTCAGTTTCCGTCAATCCAGGATGTGGTGGAGGCAAGAAGGAGAGGGGGCTTGGATGTTCAGATGTGTATACACATTTCTGAAGTTTTTTCAGAAACTTGTGGTTTAGGGTGTTGGTTCTAGGCTTGTTCTTGCATTGGGATCACCTGTGGGGAGGAGTTGTAAGACAGAAGGCTGGGCCCCAGCCTCAGTTTCTTTTTGACGCCATAGGTCTGGGGTGTGACCCCATATTCTTTGCATTTTACATTTTGCACATGGTGGATGCTTGGGTCTTTCTCTGTTGCTTTCTGCCTTATTTTTTGAGACAGGATCTCACTGAGTTTATAGCTTATTGATTTCTGTTAGATTGGCTGGCCTGCAGATTCCAGGAATCCTGTCTCTGCCTTTGCAACTCTGGGCTTAGCAGACACAGGCTGCTACACTGGGTTGTTCTTAATTGCTCGGAATCAGGTCCTTGCCTTTATGCAGGGAGCCTGTTACCTCCTGAGCCATCTCCCCAACTCCTAACTTGTGTTTTTTTTTTTTTAAGTAGACTTTGTTTAGAAATGGTGGTTAGGTAGCCATGGGAACAGGCTGTACCCTCCAGATTTGGATTCTAGAGACAGGATGAAGCCAGTAGGTGCTGGATACGGCGAGGTCATTTTAAATTCAGGGTGAGAATTTTACTTATGAGAGGACTTGAAGTCAGAGCAGGTAGCTTCAGGAGCTCCCAGTCTCTGGAAGTTTCTCTTGTTGAACGGCTATCTGGTAGATTCTTATACTAGGTAGGAGGGCCATTTGTTCATTAATTCATTAATTTACTCATCCATTTGTTCAGAATAGATGTGTATTGCCTGTTTTGGAAGCTAGTTGGAGCTTTTAAAGACAACCATGGTCCCTGCTTTCAAGGGAGTATGTAGTCTGGTGAGAATCTGCTTTATATTCTCAGGTAATTTAAATATTGAGACTCCAAGAGTCCTATGCCGAGGAGGACAACCCCCAACTAAGCTGCAGAAAAGTCATCTCCTATGAATATGTGGATACCTCAGAGGCTCGTTTTGGGATCCCCCACCCTCACCCCTTTTGGCTCATTTTAATGTTGCCAGATACGTGATTTTTTTCCCCCCTGTTAAGACACAGAATAAGCTTAGAGTGTATTTACCTCAAACACATTTCCTGTGGGAAAATTTACATCTCTCCACTGGCACCTAGGATACGCCATTAAACTCTGAACTTCTGACCAGCCCCATTATGCCGCCTGGGGAAACAACCCAGGAAATGGAGCACAGGGATGAGCTAATTGCTTTTCATCATCTCTCCTAAGTGACGTATGGAGCGAATTAACCGCTGAGGAGAGTTAGAGAAAGAAAGACACAAGTCATTTTTTCTGGGTCCTTCTATCATAAGCCTTGCTAAAAGCAATAGGGAGGCACCAGGGAATGTGGCTTAACGCCTGAGAATACTGGCCTGTCACTCATGAGGACTGGGCTCAATCTTCAGCACCTATAAATCGGGGCACGTTATCACCCATCCGCCCTGTAATTCCCAGCACTTGGGAGGTAGCGACAGGAGGATGGTAACTTCAGGGCTCGTCTTTGGCTGCATAATGAGTTCATTGCCGGCTTGGGCTACAGACACTGTTTCCAGAAATTAGACTAAAATAAAAGCAATGGTGATAATCATTGTTTTCTACCCAGCTCCACTCTGCCGTGCTTGGTGTTCAGCTTGCTACCTGTATCGTTATATGGTTTGATTGAGTAGGTTTATTGACCTCATTCTTGGGAAGAGGAAGCGAAGGAGAGGGACCGTAAGCAGCTAGTGGTTGTAGAGACAGCAGTGGTCAGAGCTGGAATCGAGGCCTCTGTCTTTCAGATCCCAGCCCATGCCCCAAGCCCCTGGCAGGCTGAACTACTCAGAATTTTGTCCACAGTTAACTATATCGTCCGTTGAGTAAACTTGCAAGTGCTGGGAAGACACAAGCTTGGGAGACTTAACGATTGAATTTCCTCCCACCGTGACTGACTCTGCTCTGAATCTTCTGGATGCTACACAGAAAATGAGCTTGAACAGTCCTCTGGGCCAGCTGAGTTTTGGGTTTTTCTGGTTTTACACATGCCTCTTGGGTTTCTCTGCTTCTCTTCAAACCTGAATGCTAATTCTTGAGTCATCTGCCTTCTGACTGCATCCTGGGGTAGGAAGAGTCCGGCTTCGACTTTGGAGCCATGTCCCTTCCCCTGGGAAGTGTCACCTCTTCCAAAATCTAATGTCTCTGCAGACTTCATTGACTGTTCTTTTTGGCCTCAACCTGTGTTTTCTTCTAAAGGAGTTTTGAATTAAGTTTCCTGTTTTCAAAATATTTGATAAGTATTTTTTTTTAATTGCAGCAATATGTAACTTTTCTTAGGAAATCTGCTCTCCCCTGAGATAGTCAGCATTGACGAAGGACTCTTGGCCTTGCTGGTTGTTTTTAGTACATGCATTTGGGGTACATTTAGTTTTTCACTAAAATGGAATTAAGAAATACATTTATTTCTGAAATGCCCTGTGACTTTGTAGATTTTCCACATTTGTATATAAATATGCATTTCTTTCTGTCATCTTTGAATTTGTGATGTTTTGCTTCATTAGAAATCAGAAACCACTTTGCTCCCTGACCTTGACTTTCTGGGGATTAGTTCTGTTAACTGAAACATCTGTTTGGTTCTTTTATTTTTCATTTCACTTTGAGAGAAATTCTAGGAAGCCTATTCTGTATCTCCTTTGGTTAGGGATCCTGAACTGCAGCTTCAAAGGGTCTGTGGCGAGAGAGAAAACAGTATCCACATTTGGAAAAGAAAAGGGGAATTTGTTGGAATGGCGACCAACAGAACTAGCAGGTCTCGGGAGATCTGACCCCAAGAAGAGATAAACAGCGGCCTCAGCAGCTTTGTGGACAGTGACTATTCCTGTCATCTGCTCAGACCTGGCACTCCATTGACTTGTCTAAAACATAGGCCAGGACCAGGTGGACCCCCTTGATCGATAACCCCACCAAAAGCATTTTGCAGAGGTTATTCTCCTAAAGAAAACGTGAGGCACCCGTGCTGAAAGTTAGTATCACAATAGGGTCCCCTGACCCTGGGATATTATGGATGTGGTTGCATGTCCATTTTCTCAGGACTCAGGAAAACTAATCAAGATGGTTGGTTCAGTATTGTCTATTCTATCGGGCTGGAGTGATGATCTCTGGATATAAAACCAATGATAAATTTCCTCCTGGTTTTCTTTTTGTTCCTTGGTTCCTTAATGGCCACCCAGTTTCTTCTAGTTTGGGGCCGCCTTTCCTGGTTCAGGTAAAGTCATTGGCCCCGTCACCAGGAAGATGGAATCTGTCAATAAAGATGCAAATGTCTGTTGTTGTTGTTTTTTTTTTTTCCAGACACCTTTTTGCTCCAGCCTACACAGAAACCTGCTACACTGCAAATGGCAACCCTCAAACCACTACCTTGAAGTCCAAGGTGAGTTACGCATGTCCATCAGCAGCTGCCGTATTTGGGTCCCGCTCTTCGGGGCAGAGGAAATAAGTGATGGAAAGCCCTTCTCTGAAGGACTTATGTCCCCTGACTTAAGACCGAGAGCACAAACAGAAGCTAAGTCTGTTGTCTCCTAGTTGTTTCCTGTCCTTTGTTGGCAAACATGGCAAAGCAAACAGATGGAATGTTTGAGGTTAAATTGCCTTGGTTAAAATCCCTGTAAATCATGACAAAGTAAACATTATTTCTTAGGCCTGTGTTAACTAACCATTCACTAATACTCTCTCTTTAAAAGGAGTAATTTACTCATTGTCCTGTCATCTCATCCAATTAGATGCTGATTAATATTTCAAGAAAATGGAAGGTTTTGTGGAGTTTTTATCATTGTGCATACAAATTCACATTAACATCATACCATTTTAATGCAATTGTAAACCATCAAGAATTTTTTGAGATGGGGTCTAGTTAGACCAGGCTGACTTGGGACTCATAGATCTCCTCCTCGCCCTGTTAGTGCTGGGATTAAAGGCATGCACGGCCATTTCCAAGCTCTATTGAGCTTTGTAAAATGTTGCTGTTGTCTTAATACTGAACATTTCCCCTTCAGAGTTGTTTTTAGTGAGAAAGTTTTGCATATGATCGCAGAGTCATCATTTTGAAAATGGTTTTGCATCTTAATTTATTTCACTTAATTTATACCCTACTGGTGGATGTTTAAGAATGTACATTCTATGTGTCATGATTTGCTGGCTCTTCCCATGGCGATTTCTGTTAGAGTTCACAGGCCCAGAGCAGTGGATCTCAAGCAGAAGCAGCGATTCTTTTTTTTCTCCTGTAAGGCACACTTGCACATGCTTGCTGATGGTTGGATGTCATTAGCATCCCACGGGCAGAAGCCAGGGACTCTGTGAAGCATCCTACTGGACACAGAGCCGGGCCTCATGGTAGATTTATCCCGCCATCGTCCACCCAGTGGTGCCTCAGGGGAGAAGCCCTGGACCAGACCCAGGCTTCTGAGCCTGGGATCATGAGATGTGAAGGGAAGGGGAAGAGCACAAGCTACACTGACCTTTTGTGTTTGGGGTTTCTGAGGCAAGAGACTTGATGTATGACGTAGATGGAGGAGAACAGGAGAGGCTCCTCTGCTTGGGATCCTCTAACAGTATTCATAGAAGTAGATTCTCATGCAACTCCTTCTTCAAATATCTCTGCCCGTGTGCGGATGTCTAACCAGATAGCAATTGGCCGTTACTAGCAGGTTAGCTTAGTTTATTGAACTCCCTGGAATGGGGAATGGATGGGTCCCTTTAAGGTTGGACTTGTCTAAGTACATCTAAGCTACTACAGTAGAGTAGCTGGATTGCTGAAGGGGATGTGAAGGTCAGTGGGACGTCTTCCCAAGATTCTCCTACGTGGGAAAAGAAGTTGGAAGTGTGGCCAGTGACAGCAGCGGGCAGACTGGGCCTTCTCAGGGAAGCTGTCCAGCTGTGACCCACACCTCCGCAGAGCCCCTTGGCCCAAGCTTTTCCCTTCTTCAGTCTTCTGTTCTCTGCTTCCAGGAATAGGAACGGGCAAAGGGCTGGGTAAGCGCCATGTGGAGAAAGCCCACAGCCATTTCAATTTCACAAAAACTCCCTCCTCTGAGTCCAGCCCCTCCCACCTCCACAGCCATAAGTCAAGAATGGGTCTCAGGGCACAAGTTTGCCATGAGCTCATGCTTCCTGCTGTGAAAGCCCCCCGGGGTGGCCCCCTCAGCCCCAAGAGCTGCGGAATGCAATGACTTCATGGCGGCTCTGACTTGCTCTTTGTGCTCCTACGCTGTGCACCAAGCAGAGATGTGTTAAGGGTCTTTCAGAGAAGAGCGGGGGAGAGGATGTCCCCGGGTCCCCTAATTCCCCCTCCTTCCTGAAGGCCCTGCTGGCTGATGCAGATCCTGACTGAACCGTGGGCCAAGATCATGGTTTTCTTCTGTCCACCACTGCTGGATTCTTGTGAAGTCCCCACCCAGGCCCAGGGGGCTCCCAGTCAGCCTTCTCATTTGGAAAATGAGAAACGAAGGAGAAACGGGACCAGAGTGAATCCATAGCTACTCTTGGCCTAATTGCTGAGGGCTGTGCTGGGCCTTCAAATTTAATAGTCGTTCTGGGAATCTTATCAAGACTCACTAGCCAGCCCTGTAGGTTACATCCCTGATCTAGGTCAGGTTACTGGGGGAACAGGTCTGGGGATGTGTTCCAACAGCCAGACTTACAGGCGTTGGGATCTGAAGCCAGGGCTGCGGTCTTGGCTTTCACTAGCTGTGTGGCCTTAATCAACCCTTTGGACCATACTTGAGTCCTTTTGTTATTTTCAATCGCAGAAATTAGTTGTAACTGACTCAGTGCTCTGGAAGGGTGAGATGAGTCACCGATTTTTATGGGGATTTATAACTATTATTTCTAACTCCGTGTTTTACAGTTGAGGGGATTGAGAAGAGGAAAAGTAACTTGGCTCTGCTTAAAAAGGGCAAGACCCCTTTCTAGATGGTAGAACAGCTTTAAGAGAATCCAGTCAGGTGCTGATTCTGCATTGGTTGGGAATGGTAGCGGACTGGGTTCAGGGCCAAGTTGTTGGGGTTCAGGTTTTCACATCTACTGATCTTAGCCCGGAAACTGGGATCCCTTAAACTAACCTTTAGTTTCCCCCTTAAACTCCTGGGAATAATATCTGCCTCATAGAGCTGGGATCAGAATTAAAGTACAGATAAGCAACTGTTATCAAGCGGTAGGAGCCTGCTGGCTGTTAGCGCCTGCAGTTACTAAGAGTGAGTGACAGGTACTCTGTCACATGTGTTTGTGCCCTCTGAACATTATAAATAGCACATGACAGTTGTAGAAACATGCCATTGCAGAGAGTACGGGGGAATGTGCACACTACAGCCATCAGCCAGAGTGCTGAAGAGGTCCAATTCTTCCTTAGCCATGTCTGGATCAAAGTTCTCGCTACTTGTGAAGGAACCAGCAGGGACAGTGTTCCGCCTTTATTTCTGAATGTTTAACTCTCAGTCATTTCACTGTCTATGAGCCCTGCTTTCCTTGCGAAGGCCTGGTTCCTTCTCCTAGGGAGAACTGACCATTCTTCTCAATGTTAGTGTTCTACACAGTGGGTTTGTGGCCTCACTATTGAGTTCCAAGGACTGGGTCTAATACTTGATTGTTGATAGTCTGCCTTCAGTTCCCCTAGCCCAGATAGGGGAAGATAGGGAAGCCATGTGACAGGTTGGCCTTTGAAGGCAGTGGGACCCTTGGCTAGAGATCAGGCTGTGTTTATGTCGCCTTCCTAGGTGTAGGGGATGACAAGCAAAGGAAAACAACCCATCACAGTGGTTTTCTTCTGTGCTCACATGAAGGTCAGAATTTGACTTGGTTAAAGTTCAGCAGTCTCTGATGCCAAGAGGAGGCTGTTGTTGTCCATCCTCCTGGCTGTGTGTCAGTATGAATGGGCAGGTAACCAGCGCTGCCTGACAATGGATGAAACGGTACCTGTGATCCAGAGAAGGAGCCCAAAAGGACTGTGGGCTTGGCTTGTGCTTCCTGACTTAGCTGTATGGCTCAGATGAACAGGATGTAGAATAGAAACAGTAAATGTTGTGGGTGTGGGTCAGCCCTTTCGGTGGCCTTTTAAGTCCCCTGAGGCCATGTTTTATCTTTAGTGAAAGAATGTAATGAAAACCTGGCTACTAATGTTTGCTGTCTATCTTTGGGATAGGGAGCAGTCCAGCCAGCTCCTTTGTATAGTGATGCTCATGACCCTCCTGAGGTTGGAAGCTAAAGATGTGGGAGGCCAGAGGAGTCATTTCCACCGCTGGTCCATGTGGGTGCCTGGATGTATGGCCGGTTTGGCTGTGCCAAACAGCTTAAGTATAATTACGGAGCTCTTTTCAGGGTTAGAGGTGGGAGGGAAGCGAACTCAGATATGTGGGTTTGCCTTCTGGATACCCCCCACAAGGAAACAACTGCAAACAGCACATTCTGGAGATGAGGCCCTTGGGTTGTTTGTTATACAGGGCTAGTCTGGGAATTTGTGACTGCCGCTTAAACTCAGGGTGTTAGGGAAGCCCTTTTAAGAATCTGGCTTTATTCCCAGTTTTACCTCTGTCTGTTCTGGCTGACTTACCCATTCCGACCTCTATTGCTGACCACCTGTTTTGGGGAGGGGGACAGTCTGGTATAGCACATGGGCACGAGGCACTCTTAGAAGTGCTCTTTCCTGGTTGCTCTGATTAGCCTAGTGAGCAAACCCTTCTCTGCTACCACAAACTTTTATCCATAGCTGTGTGCGTTTGACATCTGTATCACTTGCTTTTTGTTCCTGGGATAAAACACCATGGCTAGAAGCAACTTACAGAAGGAGTTTATTTGGGTTTAAGGTTCCAGAAGGCTAGTCTATAATTGTATAGCAGCAGGCAGCCAGGCAGGAGGCTGAAAGATCACATCTTCAGCCACAAACATGAAGCAGAGAGAGCAAGCTGGAGGTGGGGGAGGCTATAAAACCCCAAATCCCGTCCTCCAGTGATGTACCTCCTCCATCAAGGCTGTACTACCTACCCGAGTAGCATCCCCAAGTGTTTAAATACTTGAACTGTGGCGGGGGTAGAGGAGGTACATTTCTCATTCACCACAGCTTCCTAATTAGCAATGACTTGCTTCCACAAGGCTATAAACCCCAGGGACTAGAGCTGTGTGTCCATTTTCTCACTGCATCTCTGAAGCCTTGCCCAGGGCCTGCATGTGGTGGTTCTCGGTGTTTATAAAGATGGAAAGCTCCAGCTGGTTTTGGGGGACCAGACGCCTGTGAGGCATCATGACAAGAGAATAGCGTCAGGTGTCATGATAAGAGAATAGCGTCAGGCGCCATGACAAGAGAATAGCGTCAGGCGTCATGGAGCTAGGGTCTCAGGAAGGAGAGACCAGGTGTGGAGGATTCAGGGGAGAAGAAGCATCTTGAACTGTGTTCAGATCTTGAGGCTGCCCTAACAAAGTGTTGTGAATGGGGAGGTTAAAACAAGAGAACTTGGTTCTCTCTCTATTTTGCAGGCTAACCGTCCAACACCAAGTTATTGGAAGGGGTTGTGCTCTCTCTGTAAGGCCCCCAGGGAAGAGTCCTCCCTTTCTTCCTCTAACTCCGTAGTGCTCCTTGTCCTGTGTTACATCACATCCGTCTTTGCTTCTGTTTTCAGGTGGCTTCTCCCCTTATATATCTTTTGTGTCCTTTCTTCTGATAGGTAGATGAGGCCATTAGATTTATGACCTATTCTCATCAATTGTGACCACATTTTAATTTAATTTAATGACATGATCATAACCCTATTTACAAATGAAGTTAGATTCTAGGACACTATCCAACCCACGACAGTGAGCTACAAAGGCGACATCAGTGAGAAACTGGATCTTCCAGAAGACTGTTCCCTGAGTCTGAGTCAGACATGTCAGATCTGAAACTGGGTTCTCCAACCTGTGAGCCTCGACATTTCTGTCTACTCAGTAGGACCGGAGACATCTGTCCTGTGCTATCTCTTAGGCTCCTGTAAGAACCAAACAGAGGTCATTTGGAAGCCTTTTGCAGGTTATAAGATCCTGCAAGGTTGCAAGATCAGGCTTGGTAAGGAACTAAGCCGTCACCTGTCATTCATGAGACATTAACATCATCATGTTTATCGGCGCCATTTGACATGAGCACTTTCTGTTTGCCAGGATCACTGCTTTTACCACGGGACCGTGAGGGAAGCAGAAGAATCCAGCGTCACGCTCAGCACCTGCCGGGGAATTAGGTAAGAGACCCTGAAGCTGCTGCGGATGAATGGTACACTCCCCAGGAAGATGGGCAAGGTTAACCCAGGGCAAGGGCCTTGGACAGGAGGCCCCTGGGCATGTGTCTACACTCTGACAGGGGCCAAGCTTGTGAGCTGTCACACAGACACTGGGTTTGGGTTTCCCTTTCATGACGAGTTTGATGTGCTAAAATCTGAGTTCTCTTATTTATGGATGGTACGGCTAACGAGTCAAGAGAAAACCATGACTGGAAGCTTAGCATCAATAAAGAGCTGTCTGTCGGGTGTAACTGGCAGGCAGTGAGTCACAGTAGAAAGAGGCATTCTAATCCATGGCGGGGAGGCATGGGAAAGCCCAGGGGTGTGAAGAGACAGAAAGCTGGGGGCGGAGTGGGTTAGTGCAGGGAAAGAGTGGATGAGCTTGGCGCGCAGGCTGAGGAGTGGCTGCTCTGTGTAACTTCAGTAGCTCTGGGACATGGGGTCCATGAAGTCGTTTGGTACCCAACCCCATGGGTAGGTGGATTGTGACCCAGAGGGAGAGAAACCAAGGCAAGATGGTAGCTGGGCCCTGGGCTATTGGTTGGCTTATACTGAAAGGCACTGTAGCTGGCGAAAATGTCTCTCTAGGAGTTGGGTAACCATGAGGGGACAGTTCCTCCAGGGTCAGTGAGATCCTAGAAATGAAAGCGAAGAGAGACAGAAAACAAGTGAGATGTTGGTAGACTTGAAGCTGACGTTCCTCATTCCTCCCACCTGTTCACTCCATGGTAGAAGACCTTTCAGGTTGGGTAGCCAGAATCGGAACATCAGGGAAGAGAGGTGTAGCAAGGAAAGAGAGGAAATTTTCGAGACAGAAAATCAATTGGAGAGTTCCAACTAGATGAACCAAACCACCTACGTTTGAGTCAAGAACAACACGTGTCTGGTGGGAGGTGGGAGAGGGCATCACATCCCATGGAGGCAGAGCCACAGAGGGTTGTGAGCCACCATGGGGATGCTGGGAACGCAACCTGGGTCTTCTGCAACTGCTGAGCCATCTCCTTAGCCCCATGCTATATCTTTCCTTGCTTGTTTGAAAAATCTGGGCTCTTATCTACACAAATGGCCTATACTGCAGGGAACGTGAACTCAGGGTGCTAACTCCAGGAATACCAGAAATCCTTGGTTGGTGGTAGCCAACTATATGCCGGGGGCAAGGCGCTCACTACTGATAAACTACCTACTCAGTGTTACTACCAAAGGCAGAATTGGGAATATGAGCGGGCTCACTGGTGGCTCTCAGGAGCTGGTAGGAGGTGGTTTCTTCCCCTTCTTTGAATCAGTGGCTGCTTCTGTCATTTGTTAATATATGCCATGTCCTACACTGGCAGATGGCGGTGTTATAATTTTGTGTCCTCAGGGCACCAGTGATAGGTATGGTGGAGACTACGTGTTTCATTGATCTTGCAGCACTTCACAAGATGTGTTCCAGGACTTAGCTTTTCCCTGCCCCCAGATATAACCGAGGGCCCTTCTGGCCGCAGGTCTCATGTCTGTTTATGAGTTGGTTCACATTTGTGTGGCGCGTTGCCCGAGGGAATTAGGCAGGAAATCGGGTTTGGCTGGGAGGTGATTAACAGTGGTCTCATATCCTCCACTCAAGTGGCCTCCTCCAGCCAAGCCAACTGGCTTCTCAGTGGTGTTTATAGGCTCAGCCCCTGCCACCTGCAGCCCGCAAGTAAACAACGGCTGTCCCAGGAAGGAGGAAAGGGAACCAGCAGGTGTGACCTGCTTCTCTCTGCCTCTTCCTTTGTCCCTTCTGGGACTGGAGCAGTGGGAATGCTCTTGGCTTGGCCTCTTGTAAGTCATTCCAGCAGTCGGGCTGATGGGGAAGCTCTCCGAGCTGCCCATGTGGTTCTGTTTTGCAGGCTTCCATCTGGTGGGGTCTACATGCCTTTTTTTCCCAGCCCTCTCCTCCTTCCACAGGCTAAGAGAACGAGGTTAAATTATGAGCCAGAGACTTGCAAGGCAGCCACACTGGGTCCCTGGAGCAGAGGCAGGAATGACAGCAGTGTTTAAATCCAAATAGCTTCCCAAGGCTCCAGAAGCCTGATATCGCCATGGGGAGTTTCCATAGCAACCATTCATCTCTCCTGGTAGTGTACTCCTGTGTCTGGAGAAAATGGATAGGATATATGCTAGGCAGGCTCTTCAGGCGGAAAATGAAAGGAGCCAGTACAGCCTAGACCAGCAATTCGTAACTTTCCTCATGCTGTGACCCTTTAATACATCTCCTCATGCTGTGGTGACCCCCAGCCATACAATTATTTTTGTTGCTACTTCGTAACTGTGATTTTGTTACTGTTATGAACCGGAATGTGAATATCTGATATGGAACTCCTGTAAAAGAGTTGTTCAACCAAAGGAGTCGCGACCCACAGGTTGAGAACCACTGCCCGATGGTTACCGGAGCCTCGTCTCTCTTGAGTACTCTGTAAGTCAGTTTATCATTAAAGAAAAACACCCGATCACAGCAAAATAAATCCAAATGTTAAAGACCATTTGAGGATATAATGAGAGGCAGCACTCTTTCTCACCTCTTTCCCAATTGTTTCTCATAACTTACCTCAAAAATCACCAGTTTCCTATGCATTCTTTTGGAAATACTCTCGGCAAGAGGAATCTTGCTATATAATAGAAAATGTTTTATAACTTTGTTTGTACCCCAGTCACCTTGGGAATTGGGTTAATCAGTGGCTGTGAATCTCATCAAAGATGCAGCGAACCATCTGTGTTAGTCTGCTCACTACTAAGTGTTTAAAGTAAACAGTTTAAACGGGAGATTTGGCTCAGGGTTTCGGAGAGCTCAGCGCTTCTCTGCTGGCTCTGGAGACCGTGGTGAGGCAGAACAGTCTTAGTCGGAGAGACGATAGTCCAAAGATCTCCACATAGCATCCCAGCTGGGGATCTCCGCTTCATTGAAGGTGTCAGGTGTCCATACCCTCGAGCCTGCCTCACACTAAAATCCTGTCTTGTAAATGTCGCCACAACACCCTGCCTGTGCAGATGCGTCTCCACATCAAATTCAGACTAAACGGAAGGTCCGATGATCGCTTGTGGGAAAGTTTAGCCGGTACTGGGGCTGTGATGTCTTTGACTAAACCTGTATGTTTCCCGTCCATTGTTGGGGAGGTGGGTTTTTGTTGTTGTTGTTGTTTAATTTTTTAAACAACACTCACTGAAAATTGTCATTATGTAACGAGTACAGGTTTAGGGTTAAACATCCAAACTGTACAAAGTTCTGCCTTCTCCATCCTTCCGCCCAAACCCATTCTCGTTCACGTCACTGTTCGGGTGTACATAATGGACCTGCATTGTCTACTATGTACAAGTGAGGTCATCCCAAGCACGCAGTCCAGTCTTGTGATGTTTCCGACACAGAACTAAGTCTCAGGTGCATAGGAATCTGTCCCATTACTTTAACGGGGCCATAAACTCTTATGTATTAAAGTCTGGTGAGTTGAATTATAGAGACAGCCTCTCAATGATAAACAATAAATAATCCCCCCAGATCTGCTTGATGGGTCAGCTTGATGGTCACAGCGTTTCTCTCAGCCAACATCTGGGACCCTACCAGGCTGACCGGCTCCTGGACTCTCATCCTGTGCTCTAGGGAGAGACTCTGAGGTTGGGTGGGGCATAACTTGTCCAAATGTGCACACCATGGACTGGAATGCATTCAGCACTGCCATTCCAGGGCTGTGAGTGTGCTCTGCCACTCCCCTTCCTGGTGGTGTGACACCCCCACCAGCTCTGTCTTCCACACTTACTTTTGCCCTTGTCTTCACCTTGGCCAGACTGGTCCGGTCCTTCCTCTGGGCCTTACTCTATCTTAATAGCTCGCTAAGTGCTTGGGAAGGGTGTGGATAGCAGGGTTGGTAAGACACTCAGTCCAGAACCAGGACTCTGGAAATGAGCAACCTAGGATCTACCTCAGGCTTTCTGTTAACTCACTCAGTGTCTCTTGAGCAACTTCCCCACCCACCCTGGGATTTCTTCACTTCTCAAACTCGAGTAGACTAGAATCATAAAAGTACCCTTTATCTTGGGAAGCCCTGGACTCTGAGGAGGAGGAGCAGAGTATGCGGACAGGAAGAAGTCCTTCCCCGAAAGCCATGACTTTCCTCTGCATGATGATCATCCGCCTCATCCTGGAATAAGCCCTCGGATGACAGGACCCTTACACTGTGACAAGGTCTCCAGAGGCAGACCCTTCTGAGTCTAAAAGCTGGCGACTAGGGCTGGGGAGATGGCTCAGTTGGTAAAGTACTAGTCACACAAGTCCGAAGAGCCGAGTTCAATTTCCCAGCACCGACTTTTTTTTTTTTTTTAAGCTGGGTATGATGATGCAAATGGCTGGTCAGCTAGCATAGCTTCATTGGTGAGCACCGGGCCGTGGAGAGACTTAGTCTTTAAAAAATTCGGCTTCCATATGTTTCCCACATGAACACATACCTGCCAGCTAACACAGTCCTTTAAAATGACTTTATTTATTATTATTGTATATGATAAGTATGTGTGTGTGGTGTGGGGAGGTGCTCATGTTGAGGTCAGAGGATAACTTCATGAAGTCTATTCTCTCCTTCCATCTTAACATGGCTTCCAAGGATTGAGCCCAGGTTTGTGTAGCTAGAGCCTTACCGTAGCTTAGTCATTTCACCGGCCCCGGTTGATGCTGATATACTCCTGAAGTCTCAGTTTTCTGCCCTGTAAGATGGGAGCAGAGATATTGATGCCATCGGTGGGTTCACGTTAGGTGATCCGCCCCATCTCCTTGACAGCAAGATCTTTGGTTGGCTTGTGCTGTGTCCTCAGGGGCTAGAACAGTCCTGCCTCACATCAGGTACTCCGTGCTGAACAGCTTCCCAACCAAATGTTTTATATCTCGTTTGCACAACGCGCTTCCGGGACTCCTGGCTTTCTTGGAGAATGGTCCCTGGTTGTCAGTGAGCACCATCTGATTCCTTTAGACTGTTAACACAGCTGCTCTGGGAGAGACAGCAGGGCCAGGATCCTAATCCAGGATGTCTCCTCCCTGACTCTGTGTTCACTGCTGCTTGCGCTCTGCCTCTGTCCCAGCAGGAACTCAGGACCAGGTGCCTCTCTTCTCCCTGTGCTGCCTTGGAAGTTCCCTGTGACCTGTTAATGTGGGTGCAGGTTGGGAGAGTGATGGGGAGCAGGACTGCAGGGCTGCTGCCTCTTGGGGTCTCTCTCTATGATGGGATGTGGTTGTGCAACGGTGTGTTTAATGGACAGCTTCTGGAGTGGCTCCTCTCCCCTGCCATGAAAGATGTATTTGAGTGAGTCCTGCAGTGATTTGTGGGTTAAGCCTGAACCTATTATTTTCTGACTGGCTGGCCTGCCTGGGTTCCTCTGTATGATCTTATTTTATGATTTATTTTGTTTCTCATTCTCTTAATGATGAGGAATGGGTTAGAGAGTAGCATCCTGGCCCTCTGCCTTTTGGGTTCTCAGTCCCACTTTTGATCTCTGCCTCTGCCAGAGCTAACATTTAGCAAATTGAATCAGCTGAGGCTCTTAGGTTAAAAGATGGGTGACTGTGTGTGTGTGGGGGAGCGTCTAGGTGACTTGCGGGGGGGTGGGGGGGAGGTGTCTAGGTGACTTGCGGGGGGGTGGGAGGAGGTGTCTAGGTGACTTGTGGGTTGGTGGCAGGAGAGAGTCCCCATCAACAAAGCTGGAGTCTGCTGGACAGTGCCAGGCACGTGACACCACCTTTCCAGCTCTTAGTAATCCTACATGAAGGTCCCTGCTCCTTCCTGGGGGCAGTCTCCAAGGGCTTTAGTGGGGTGGGATAGGGAAGGGGTTGCTGAAACCTGTTGCTGGAAGGGATAACCTCAGCGGTTGTCCCAAGCTTGAGATGCTCAGACTTCCTACTTCTTGAGGCAGTTGCTCAAGCACCATGAAAACACAGGCAAGAGCGTGGACTCCTGACTGAAGTTTCTGCGTGTCTCAGAGCTTTGCCTGTGGGACTAAGTGCAAACACTTGGGCCTGAGTCTCCTGGGATCGCTTGGGTACCTTCTGTAGAGTAGTGGATAGTTTGGAAGTTCTGGTCCGGGGATCTCTGAGTGCAGGTGCAGAGCTTACCAGTGGAGGCAGATGCATAGAGCTCAAGGGAACAGAGACTGTGTCCATGAAGTCCTTGGCCCCAGGTGAAAGCTTCTGATTCTAATTCCCCGGGTCTCAGACTCCTCATTGATAAAGTGAGATCCATGATGTTGCCAGCCTTATAACGTGGTGTGGAATGAAGAGAGATTAACATATACAGTCTGTGGGGCATGTGGTTAGTTAGCACACAGCAAACAGTATCTGAGGAGGAGGGAGGACCAGTGCTTCCTGTCCTCTCCCAGGAACTAGGATTCCATAGACAAAGCCAGTTGCATTTTCTGCTTGGCCTCACATCAGAGGGGAGTAGCTGGTGCCATCACCTATAGCCATATATGCACGAGGGGCATGTGTGTCACTCTGAACCCATTCTCTAGGGCTCTTATGACAGACAGTAAGAGGTTGGGGTGAAGGTTGTGGGGTGTAGAACCAGAATGCTGAGGTTCACCCCCGTTTTAATTCTTTACTTGTGTGAATTTCGGTGGGTCAGTTAATCTTGAACATAGTTTTTTTTAAAATTTATTTATTTATTAAAGATTTCTGTCTCTTCCCCGCTACCGCCTCCCATTTCCCTCCCCCTCCCCCAATCAAGTCCCCCTCCCTCATCAGCCCAAAGAGCAATCAGGGTTCCCTGCCCTGTGGGAAGTCCAAGGACCACCCACCTCCATCCAGGTCTAGTAAGGTGAGCATCCAAACTGCCTAGGCTCCCACAAAGCCAGTACGTGCAGTAGGATCAAAAACCCATTGCCATTGTTCTTGAGTTCTCAGTAGTCCTCATTGCCCACTATGTTCAGCGAGTCCAGTTTTATCCCAGGCCTTTTCAGACCCAGGCCAGCTGGCCTTGGCGAGTTCCCAGACAGAAATCTCAAGGTCCAAATCAGGAGCAGAAGGAGAGAGAGCATGAGCAAGGAACTCAGGACCGCGAGGGGTGCACCCACACACTGAGACAATGGAGATGTTCTATCGGGAACTCACCATGAACATAGGTTTTTTTTAATTTGTACCATGGGAATAATATTTGTAAGGGTCAGAGAAGTCAGTATGAGAAATAAAACACTCATCAGCTTGGTGCCTGGCCCATAGAGAAGCTCAAAAAGTTATAGCCACTATGATGACTATTACCTAACCTGCTGCCAAGTTCCTGTTGACCTCTGACCCTTTGGCCAAGGTCTTGTTCATATCATAGCAAATCAACGTTATGCCTTGTGGCCCCATGTTCAGGCTTTCACAGATTCCTATGGGTAACTTTCCACTCACTGGGTGTAATATTGGTGCACACAGGAACACTAGCCGGTTTGTGTTCCACCTCATTGTATGGCCAACATTGTAGCCATTCAGAGGAAACTGGAATGATGGGAGAGACCCTGGTCAGCTGGGATGTGGAGATAGCTGAAAACAGGATGCCTAGGTTGCCCTGGTCTCTGCCCTTTCCTGTGTGGAGTTGGGGAAGTGACTGTGGCCCTTGCTCTTTGCCCTCCATCCTCACTGTTAAGGGAACGCCTTAGGTATCTCACCATAGGCCAGGTGACTGTTGCTGTGTCAGCCAGAAGGCAGTCAGGAAGTTGACAGGCTTCCGGGTACTGCCATGAGGTCAGCGAGGAATGAGGTCAGGAAAGGTCTCCTGCCCACTAGAGTCTGTGCTGTCTTTCCTGAGAGAGTCATGATGCCTTTGGTTTGGAGTGCTCGAAGGGATGGGAGCCTAGGTAACATGCTGCCAGCATCCTGGGGATTCAGTCCTGGCTCATCTATCCCAGAGTCAAGAGCCCATGACTTGGCTGTCTCGCTTCTTTCTCTGGATAGAGGGTGGCGGTTTAGAGAGTAGGTTCAAAGGCCATAACACATTTATTCTTGACCATGGTTGATGATGCCAGGAACACTCTTCAGAAGTGTGACTAGCCACGGCCCGACTGGCCTGACTGTGGTAGGATACCCTTTCCCTAGGAGATAAGATGGCAGAGAAGGCATTTGGGCCCCATCCACCCTTAGACACGGTTTACTGAGACATAACTAGCCATGTGACACATAATTCACAGACCATTGCTCTTATTTCATTCCCACATCACAGTGGAAGGTTGGAGCATCATAGATCTTAACAGATGAGATAACGGAGCCTCCATTGATTGTTGTGAAGCCACGGGCAGTAAGTGCTCTCCGAATGTAGACAGCTCCAGAGGCTTCAGTAGGGCAGCCCTGGAAGCAGCTGCATCTCATCCATGGGTGTCTGCCAGGGCTGATGACAGGTCCTGAGTCACAGTGACTACTCCCTGCTCACTCTGTTCTTCAGCAGAGCAGGCACCGTGGCTGGCTCCTGTTGCCATCCTCAACAACTCTCGCGGTGCCAGCTGCATAGCGAGAACAGCTGTCTTTCCAACAACCACGAACACCATTGTTCCTCTTTGCCTGTGTGTTCCATTTCCAGAGATTCAACCAACAGTGAATCAAGTATTCTTGCAAAAATATTTTCTTGAACGCGTATAATTTTTTTGTCATTATTCTCTAAACAATATGATATCGGGCAGTAGCACACACTTTTAATCCCTGCACTTGGGAGGCAGAGGGAGGTGGTTCTCTGTGAGTGAGTCTGAGGCCAGCTTGGTCTAGAAGAGCTAGTTCCAGGACAGGCCCCAAAGCTATAGAGAAACCCTGTCTTGAAACCCCCCCCCCCAAAAAAAAAAGTTTTATTATTTATTTAATGTATATGTGTGTGTGCCTGAGTATATGCATGTGCATCATGTGTGTGCAAGGCCTGTAGAAACCAAGAGAGAGCATCAGGTCCCCTGGAGCCGGAGTAATAGGCATTCTGAACTGTCTGACGTGGGTACTCGGACCAATCCGAAAGAGAAGCAAGTGCTCTCAACTCTTGAACCATCTCTCCAGCCTCAGCATTTACATTTTATTTGGCACTATAAAAATCTAGAGGTGATACAAAATATTTAGGAAGACATGAATAGGCTATGCACTAATCACACAGTATATACAGTCACACAGTATATACAGTCTGGGATGTCTGTGATTTTTTTTGTTTTGTTTTCTTGGGAGTCTGGACCCTGTGGATACCAACAGCAAGAATCCTGTGGGTTTTAGGCGATAATTAGAACACATGCATTCTCAGTGAGTGAAGAGATTAGATAACTCAGCGCACATCTTTGAGTTCCGTCCTGGGTGAAAGATTGTCACGATCTTAGTTAAGGATATTTCCTCACCAGTGAGCGATAGCTGCCTCGTTGGCATGGGACAGTTGGGACGGGTAGGAATGCTGGCCGTTAAGTACCACTTGGCTTCCAGGCACAAGGACACTTGTCTTTATTTAATCTCTCAAGAGCTCTGATGAATGAGTACGTTACCATTTTTATTTTAGCGATGAGGAAATGGAGGCTCAGGGTGACACAAGATGTTTCTTGGGGAGTGTGCGATTGTTGAGCCTTAGAGCTAAATCTAGAACCTCGGTTACCTCTGCCTCAGGCCTCTGTGCTTTCTCTGATTGCTTTTTCCTGGATCTTTAAGGTGTTAACCTATGGTTGTCATATGTCATGCTAGATTTAGAGGTTTTAAGGAGTCCCAGTCTAAAGCCCTGTAATGGTTCAGGGAGGTCCAAGTGCTCTGAGATTCCGTTCCCCATTTCACACAAGTCTGTTTCTCTTTAGAGAGTCTGCGTTTGCCTCAGGCCTTCACAGAAGGGTTCATGGCCCATTATAAAGTGAAGAACCATCTAGCATATGAACCTATTCAACAGACTTTTCCAGAACTATAGGCACTGACTGGAGATTCCACTTCTCTTATCCACAGAGGACTGGTTATAGTGAGAAGTAACCTCAGCTACATCATCGAGCCTGTCCCTGGCAACGACAGCCAACACCGTATTTACAGATCTGAACATCTCAAGCTGCCCCCTGGGAACTGTGGGTTCGAGCACTCCGAGCCCACCGCCAAGGACTGGGCCCTTCAGTTTACACAGCAGACCAAAAAGCAACCTCGCAGAGTGAGTTTTTAGGTCCTCACTGGAACTGGCAGACTGATCTGAGCTTGTCCCCTCTGTGCACCCTTACTTTGGTCCCAGAAGTACTTCTAAATTGAGGGAGGATTGGTGAGAAAGAGGGAAAAGCCCCTCGCCCTTTCTTTCTTGGGATTGTTTAGTGAGACGCCAACATAAGAGAACCACTGTGTATAGAATGCTCTGAGATGCTGATTTCTGAAACTGTATAAGGTTAAAAAAAATGTCTACTTCCGCTCTTGGAATAGCCACCTCATCTGCTGTACAGAATGGTTTTTGTTCACAGTGAAAACAGAGACCTGTGGTCTCAAGGTTGTTTGGGAACTAAGCTGCCGGCACGTTCCCTCGTGGGTTGTTGGCCTCGATTTTGCCTGTACTAGCCAGTTTGGCTTTTTGATTTTTGAGAAAATAAGATTAGATCCCATGGCTCAGAAAGTCCTCTGGCAATAACCAGTTGCAGATGGAGATGGAGGGCTGCAGCCAGGACTGTTCCTAACCCCTAAAGTTAAAAGAAGGTCACAGGTTATCAACCAGCATGGTTTCTCAGCAGCTTTTTGGGATGAGCTGGAGTCAACCGTTTCTACGGCACTGATCTGCTTCTGTGTCTTCCCTAGATGAAACGGGAAGACTTACAGTCTATGAAGTACGTGGAGCTGTACCTGGTGGCTGATTACTCAGAGGTAAGGGGTCAGCCGTGGATATCAGCAGAAAAACCTCTCTTGAGGCTGCTTTGCCGAGATGTGGATGCGCTCATCTTTTTCTGGTTTATTGTATAAACTTGACCTTAAATCTGGCCAAGGGCTCTTTCAGCCATTTTAAACAGTCAGGAGAAAAGAAATCAACCCTAACCAGAAGCTGAGGAGAGCGCTTAGTGTGGACACGAAGGGCGTGACTTAGAGGGGGTTCTGATATTTGTTCTTAGGGTGGTCTGTAGCTCTTCAGAGAATCTTGCAGACCTCTGTCTTACAAAGGTAGCAGGTTCCCCTGTGGCTTATCAGATGCCATTTTCTCACATGTATCTATTTTCATGTTCGTGTTGGTGTTCCCCAAATGTCCCCAGAGCCGCAGCGTATGCAGCACCTGGGAACCGTGAGAAATGCATATCTCTGAGCCTTGCTCCAGATCCCTTCAACCCCAGACTGTCAGGGTGGGACCCCACAATCCATGTTTTAATAAGACTTTGGGGGTAGTTCTAATGCGCAGCAGGTGATCTTGGGAGCCACCAGCCTAATAGAGCAGGGTAGCCCCTTAATTTAGATCCCTCAAATGGGACAGGCCCTAAGGTTTCACAAATACCCCACACCTGGCTCCATCATTTGTTTCACTTTCTTGGGTGACTTCCTGATTCTTCTATGATGTGCTGGCACAGTGCTTGGCATCAGGTTATAGACTGAGCCAGAGCCGCCCCTTATTTTGGAGTTCAGAGCAGAAGCCCAAAACCCTTGTAGTTCTAGAGCACAAGAGCTGCTGAAGTGGTCCCTTGGCGATGCCTAGGATGCACACAGGGGACTGGGGAGAGCCTCTCTGAGGGAGGTGGCGATGTTGATGGTGACAGCTCAGATATAAAGAGAATTATCCCGAAATCGGAAGAGTCCTGTTTCCTTCCAACAGCCGACATAATATGGTATAGGGGCCGCGCCCCCACCACCCGCATTTCAATTAACCAAGTTTTCCTTCAAGTCCCACATCGTGCAGGGATACAACCACAGCCAAGCAGACTTCTGTGACCTGGCTAAACAGTTAACCAGAACTTTCTGTCTTCCACGAAGGCAGAGCTCATCACTCTGTCTCAGGTCCCCTCCACTTGGAGCTACAGCTTTCCCAGAGGCCTCAACCTAGGTGACTTTCCCTTTTCCACAGTCCCACAGTGTGGATCAGGGGAAGTGCCAGGGGGCTGGGTGGGAGTGTTCAAACCCAAGTTTGAGAGCTGCCTTTGAGTGCTTAGAGGTAGGAAGAGATGGCCCCTGAGCTCCTTAAAGAAAGGGGGGGGGGGCTCACTGGGCAGAGGTGAAGGGCTTTCAAGGGAGGGACCATTGTGGTCACTTTCAGAAGAGTTCAGCCTTTGAACTGATGTTGGCATTATTTTGTTTTTCCTCCAGCAGCTACGGGTGGGTGGGTCCTCGGGTTTTTGTTTTCTCTCAGAGTGCTGTGTGAATGGGAATGCAGTGACCAAGGCCCTCCCCCCACTCAGCCCTGTCCTACACATCACCTTTACCACTCTGTACCCTGACAGTTGCTGGGAGAAAGCGAAGCACCTTCCCCCAGGATAGTTCTCCAGTTAAGCCTTGCACCCAGTGTCATCTGAAACAGAGGTCTTTGACCATTTTTTCCCAAAAGGCAAGATCCTTTGATCAGATAAAGGTCCTGCACCTAGGAACCCTACTGTTCCAGTTAAAAGGAGGAGGATTACTCCTTTTGCCCAGTGGGTCCTTGGTGCAGGGTTTTAAAAACCACTGCATGTGAGTCTCCAGCAGGCACAGAAGGTGAAGATGGTGAGCCTTCAGCCTCCTGATGTCCAGACTCACAGCAAGCCAGGGAGAAAACGTGTCTGTTAGAAGGTGCCTTCACGACCGTGGGGCCGTCCAGAGAATCTTATTGTTGTGGAAGGGTGCACCTTAAGCATCAGTAGCCTAGGCATCTGTACCCCTTTGCTACAGGGCTGTGACTCTTAACTTCCTAGTAGGTGAGGGGCTCTCTTAGTTCTCAGGGTCATGAATGGCTTTCAGCCCTAGGCTTTGAATGATTCGTGTTGGGGTGCAATAGGCCAGGCAAGATTTGCGAGCCCCAGAATTGGCAGGCAGACATGTATTCCTGGCAGTTAATCTGAGACTATGGGAGGATAAATGACGGTAAGGATGTAGTATTTGTGATTTAGATACAGCAGCCTTCTCCTCTGGTCTCTGAACTCACGACAGTGAACGGGGGTCTCTGGGTGGGATAGCAAGTGCCTAGAATTGAGGCTGTGGTATTCGTGTCTAGAGAGCTGTCCGCAGTAAAAGTGAGCCAGTAGCGGCTCTCTGCCTAGTTCTAGGTGGAAGCTTCTGACCGTATCTATTCTATAGGTGTGCGGAGTATAAGAGGGCTCTTTGGGTGGTTCTGGGCATTTGCTCATTCATCAAGTGAAATAGAATGTAAGAGCAAAGAGTCTGGTTTATATCAGAGAAGGGGAAAGAAGGGCTATAGACAGAGACCTTTAAGAGACTTGGTGGTACCAGAAGGATGTGAGGCATGTGGAAAAGGCTCACATACCGTCCTAGAAAGTCTAACACCGAGACACATTTTTCTCATGACCAGGGATTGTAAACTCTAGCCATGGCCATGTGAACCTACCTCATGTTTCAGTGAGTAGTATACTAGAGGCCGAGCCACAACCTTTGGTTTATGGTAGCCTGGAAGTTTCTAAGCCCCCAAGGCAGAACTGGGTGGTTGCGGTTCGCCAAGCGGAACTGGGTAGTTGTGGTCCACCAAGCAGAACTGGGTAGTAATGGTCCCCAACCAGGTGGTCCGCCATGCTGAATGAAAAATGTTTACTCTGCGTTGTTTTACAGAGTAAGCTTACCAAACCCTGCTCCAGAATCTTCTGGGAAACATGATACACTGCCTTAGCTATGGTGGCCTTATTGGGCCTTACTGTTTGAGGACAGGATTAAATTATCTGGAAGCCTGAAATCTCATTGCTGCGTTCTAATAAATATTTACTAGATGAATGGAAATACTCTGCCACAGGGCCAGTTTAGCAGCCGGGAAATCTTCCTAGTGGAAACTTCTAGATTAAACATTCCGCAAAGGCCTGTGCAATAGGGTCCTAGAATTTAACTCTGTATGAGGTAAGGATAGCGGTGGGGTTCTCTTCTGGTGAGTGAGGGTCCCAAGGAAGTCAAGGAATAATCTAGAATCTACAAGAGAAAGGCAAGTGGTGCCTTTCTCTGTATGAGGGCTGGGACACAGCCCTTGCCCAACAAACACTTGTGGGTTTTATTTTATTTAGCGGTTTGTTCTTTTTCTTCTTTGGGTATTCTGGTGGAGCAGGAGGGAGGAAACATGGGAGAGCTTGAGGCTGAGCATACACAGTAGCTACCTACAGTGAATCACTGGGTATCCAGACCCTGTGTAAGAACAGCAGTAGACAGGGATGTCCATCATTTGGGGTGCGGGGAGGTTACAATTTTCAATTTTTTATCTTTACAATCGTCAGAAATCTTATCTGACGATTTCCTTCTTTATTGAAGGCAAAAGAGGCCCGTTCTTCTTTTCAGACAGAAGTACTAAATAGGAGGCCTCCTCTTGGGACTCGAGACAGACATTCTAATTGAGTACAGCACAATCTTCTCTCCTGTGCTTGATTATCAATGTCTGACTTCACAGACACTACAGAAGGCACTGCCAGTTGGAATGGCAAGCTAGGCAGCACCTGTCTGCTGATGCCACGTGGTCCCGTTGGCGGCACCCTCTGTGTGACATTGGCATGGCCCTCCTCCGCAGTTATTCTGTGCAAGTTCTCAGCGGGTTTCTTAGCTCTTTTCAATCGCGTACCTCGAGGATCTGTCATTGTACTTATTTCTGGCTCTCTCCCCCATTGTAGTGGAAGCTCCTGTAGTCTTGGGGTCACCATGTGGCATTTGTATCCCCGCTTTGTGCTAAGCACAACAGCATATCCGTAGCGTCACTCAGCAACCATTAGATCAGGGTTAAGTGACTACATGCTGGAAGCTCTGTAAGATGTAGGAAGGTGGCGTCCTTGTGGGGTGATGAACAAAGCGAGAGACCAGTAGGTCCCTCTTCTGACTAAGCAGTTAGCCAGAGGCCTTGTAACTTAAAGCACAGGAAAACAGGGCTTACTTGAAGGGCTGCAGGACGATAACTGGGTCCACCCCATGTGCTGTCTTGAGCTTGGTGATGGAGGTGCCAAGCGGGATCTCTGTCAGGTCCTACCCTTGGTGAACTGTGGGAAGCACCATTGCCTAAAAATGCTTGCACGCCAAAGACAGGAGGGTAAGAGCACATACAGGTCCCAGAATGGTCCTTGGATGAGAGCCGTGGGAGGGTCTCACCTGGTTCTGTTTAGTTTCAGAAGAATCGGCGTGACCAGGATGCCACCAAACACAAGCTCATGGAGATCGCCAACTATGTCGATAAGGTAAGACCAGGTGTGCTTTCTGGGGGAGGTAGTGGCACCTGAGACGGTCTGCAGGACAGGAGGTCACACCTCATTGCTGAATTGGGCATCCCCAGCAGGTCCTTGAAGGGGTGCTCGGTGCCACAGCTGCCGGGGAGGGGAGCACGGCAGAACCCTGACTGGAAAGCAACTTCTTTGGGTTGAGTGTTGGGGTTTGTTGGTTTGTATGGGTGTTTGGGGGTTTTGTTTTGCTTTGTTTTAATTTATAAAGTACAAGCATTGGCTTCATTCAGTGGCTTTCAGTTATTTTTATGGTTTTCTGACGGAATCTGTAAGAATGAGATCTTATGCCCCTGCCCATGGAGAGGTCAGATGGAAGCAGCCGGCAGTAAACAGCAGCCAGACCCTCAGCCCTGTCCCTCTGACCTTCCTGACATCTGAAGTGGCTCTTGAGGAACTTCGGGCGGGCGAGGAAGAGCCTAATTTAGGAAGGCTTTGAGGATGTGTGTCAGAGTTCCTTCTAGGTGAAAGCCCAGCATTCCTTTGACTTAGGAGGGGTTGAAGTAGGTCAGGCCCAGAAGGTACATAGAACCTTTAAAAGTCAGGGTGCCCGTCTGTCTGGAACCAATTTGTGAGACGGTCTGAGGATCCCCTCTTCTGGGAAGACTACAAATGGCTGTTTCTGTGGTCAGGATCGTTGATAATATACACTTAGGAAATTAGCAGAGGTTTGAGCTGCACTAAACAGGACAATCTCAGACCTGGAAGTATTCTATGTAAAAGCAAGTTCCATCCCAAGAGCGCAGAGAAGGGAACATGGCCGTGAGAGCTCTTCTTCACAGTTTAACAGTGTGGACTTTAGAAAGTAGACCTCGGTGTGCGCTTTGGTTACGTGCCTCCTTTCGAGGGCTGGAAAAGGGGCGGTATCGATAATTGAACCCAGGGCTTCATGCATCCAAGGCAAGTGCTCTGCCACTGACCTACAGTCTCAGCCCTTGGGTCACAGGTCTCTCTGAGGCTCTGATAACCATTTCAGGACACAGTAGAACTTGAAGGCTTAAAACTCTTGGCCTGCTAGAAGTTCTGGGTCCCAGCCGCTGGCCTGGAGAGACGGCTTAGCCACTGACCCATAAAAGTTTTGAACATTCAGGGCTGAAAAATGCAAATTTGGTCACTGTGAAGTCATTAAACCAGAAGTTCTCAGCCTTGTACTCCACCTCCCCCCACCCCCAACCCCTCGTCCTCATCAGCTGTGGAAACAGGCCACTGGCATGTAACAGGTGAAAGTCAAACACTGGCCTTTCCTAGAGGGAAAGATTCTAGGGGCATAGTAGGGGCCTAGATCCAGCTCCTACCTCAGCAACAATGGCATCTCGATGATCATACATCCAGATTAACATCTGGGAAAGTGTGTTTTCCCCGGGGGTGGAGGGGAGACTACAGGAAGCTGGTCATTCTGCCACCTGTGTATCAGCCATTGTCCTGGAGGCCAGGGAGCTGGAGGGCTTGGCTGGCTGGCTTTAGGAATTTTCCTCCTGTACTGGGTGGTGAGAACCTACCTCTAGGCACTGATGGAAAATGGAAGTGGTATGTTGGTAAACACATCAAACAAACAAACCCAAAACAGCAGCAACCAAAGTTAAAGATGTAGGACAGAAGGTAGCTGCAGACTGCAGGTGCTGGAGGAAGCCCAGCGCCTTGCTGGATGGTCCATGCGTAGATGCCTCTAACTTCCCTCCCAGCACACGAGGTTAATCGCTCCCAGGAGGGTGAGGCACGTGAGCGAGCGCCTCTGCAACTTGCTGAGCCAGCTCCTGGGCTTGAACATCGTGGCACTAAAACTGGAAGGGAGACACCCATGTGCTGAATCAGGAGCTCAATCCACAGCCTTTTCCCTTAATTGTAAGCAAAGCCAAGTTCACTTCCCTAAAACACTCCTTAGTGAAGCCAATCCAGATGCTTTGGGCTTTCTATAAGGATTGATGTGGCACAAGATGCAATCAGGAGCCTATCTCGGCTGCAGTCCCTTAGGGGCAAGTGAAGAATGGAGATGTATGTGTGTGTATGTATAGGTATATTATGGTATATATAGTATATAGATTGTGTGCTATATGATCCTAGCTCTCCAGCAGCAGATGGTCACAAGGGCCCTGAAGGTATAATCTCAGTTCATCCTGGCTCCAGAGTCTTCCTGCTGAGACGCTGGGCAAATTTCTTAACTTCTCTAAGCCTGAGTCCTTGCCTTGCTCAAGAAAAGTGCCTGATACTCAGTGGTGCCCCAGTTATTATTTTTAGCTGAGGATACCTCCCCCTTTTGATTGATGTAATCTGTCCTTTTGTGGCCTCTGTGTACACGAGAGTTTTTTCTCCCCCCTGTTGTTTTTGGCGTGATATATAAAGTGCCTGCTAGGCAGGCATAAGGAGCTGCTGTCCCAGCACCCACGATGGCATTGCGCCTGTAACCGTGTAGCTGGTGGGGGAGTTAGGGGACAGAGACAGGTCCCTCCCTGGACCTACAAGCCAGCCAGACTGAATCAATGAGCTCCTTGTTTAGTGAGAGACCCTGTCTCAGTGGTGTGGGGAGAGTAATGGCAGAAGGCCCAACCCCGACCTTTGGGCTCCACGTGTACATGTGCACACACAGGACACATGTACATACCACATACACAGTCACTGACTCAGTAGCGTCAAGGTCAGATCATTAAAGAACCCCTTGATGGGTGGGGTTTTTCCCCCTCCATTCTCTTCTTACCTCAGTGTTTTCTAAGGCAAGATACTCCTGTTTGGGCACCAGAATGCATCTCTCTGAAGATCTTACTTGCTTCTTCCTGGAGCCAGTGGCAGGAGACTGACCCCAGTGGCAGGAGAGTACCCCAGTGGCAGGAGACTGACCCCAGTGGCAGGAGACTGACCCCAATGGCAGGAGAGTACCCCAGTGGCAGGAGTGACCCCAGTGGCTGTGCTCTGAGCTCCTAGTCTGGGCAGTGAGAGGACCTGGCCCTTCTGTGTCTTGGCAGTTTTACCGATCCTTAAACATCCGGATTGCTCTCGTGGGCTTGGAGGTGTGGACGCACGGGGATAAGTGTGAAGTCTCCGAGAACCCGTACTCTACCCTCTGGTCCTTTCTTAGCTGGAGGCGCAAGCTGCTTGCCCAGAAGAGCCACGACAATGCGCAGCTCATCACGTGAGTAAGCCTTTTCTGGTGGTGGTGCATCAGCTTTGGCTGCAGAAGGGGTACTCTGCCGGCCATGGGGTACGAAGTTCACCCAGTCTTTCCCCAGGGGGGAGAATCAGTTGTGCAAGAGCTCCCTTGCTCCCTGGCTAATTAACCAGGCATTTTTCAGACCCAGCACGCCTTGCGAAAATGTTAAAAAGTCTAAGAATGATAACAGTCCTCTGACGTGTTTCCCACCCGTGTGAGAAAATGAGCTTCACCCATAATCAGCTGAGGCACGTGACTGTCTACTAGGGCCGTGGATGACTCCTGGTCACAGCTGACAGCCTGCCACAAATGTTCTTCTAGCGAATCAGCTACCCCCACCACCGCCACAGGGTGCAGGCCCCCAGCTCCTTCTCATGCTTCTCCAAACGTCTCAGGGCTGAGTGCCTGGGGGGAGGGCCAAGTGGCAGACTGTAGGACCCTCATGGGAAGGCTTGGTGGGAGGAAGCTCTGGCCAAGGGCTGTGTTGAGTTTTCAACTGCCTCTGAGAGAACAGAATACAGCCCCTCAAGGGGGGTCGGGATATACCAATGTTGGCCTTCCAGGGTAATGTGAGGTGGCCATACCAAAACGCCCGTAGATAATGAGCCTTTGCTCCTTTCCCTTGAACACAGCCGAGTCAACAGTCATTCCAACCCTGATACCTTAATTTACCCTCTCATAGCAACTGGGATTGCCAATATTTACTTGTCCCTAAAACCTGAGTGGTCACTTGAGGACCGTCCACTCACTGAGCGAGTCCTTGTTTACGGAGACATTTGGCCTGAACTCTAGAACACCTTGAATCTGTTTACAGTAGGCTTCTCCAGAACCGAGTGTTAGTTTGTTAAATGACAAGTGGGGCTTCATTCACCATCTAGTGAATCTAGGAAGCAGGTGTTCATCAGACATCCATTTATTCCTCCTTGTCTGCTCTGCTTGGGTGCCACAGAGAGAGGGATATGTTAAACTGGGGGGTCGGGGGGGCGAAGCTGGCTGCTGACCTGTTAGGACAGAGCAGAGGCGGAAGCAGCTCAGGCCTCCCCCAGCTGTGGTTTGTGAGGCTCCCAGAGAGATGCAGCTGTTTCCTTGGCCTGTGTGTGATTTGAGGACTGAAACATCAACTCCACAGCTGCTTCCCAACTTCCCAGCTTTTGCGCAATGACACATGCCACCGGTTTCCTGGGCCCCTGGTCACCGGTGGACGTGGAGGTGATTCACTGGGGCACCGCAGCCTGTGCCCCACCCTTTCCCTGTACTCCTGCCCCTGACCCCTCTTTGTGAATCAAGAATGGGGCACAGCTGGTCAGGCCCTGCCTTCTTCCTTTCGGAGTCTTTGGGCACATTGTGAGCGCAAAATGACCTTTCTTCTGTGCTACCGAGGGAAGGACTGAGAGGAAATAAGAGGTGTGGTACCCTAAAAGTTGTCCAGTTGGCTGGTTACCAGACTCACCCCTTTGGGAATAATCTGGGAATGTCAGTGGGGTCAGTGCACAGCAGGGCAGCCTGTCCCAGAGGAACAATTCTCTCGGCCCTCACCTGGAATCCCTATCTTTTTCCTCCCTGCAGGGGCAGGTCCTTTCAAGGTACTACCATTGGCCTGGCCCCACTCATGGCCATGTGCTCTGTGTACCAGTCTGGAGGTGTTAGCATGGTGAGTCTCAGACCATACACTGGTACTGCACACGGGGACAGTGACTCTCAAGACAGGAGGCCAGCTTTGAAAAACCAACTTAAAGTGCATTAAAAAGAGCAAATGTTTCCAATGAAGTTAATCAGGTCCCAAGGATGCTAAATTTTCATTCATCCTAGATTATATTGGTTTTTAAGCAATTGTATAAACAGACAGACCTCTAGATCTCTCGTGTACTATTCCACACCAGGGACTGGAGGAGTGAGAGTGGGGACCCGGGGAAGAGGACAGAGGTGGAAGTATTTCTAGTTCGGGTCTCGAGTCCTCGGGTATTGCGTTGTGAAATGAACACCTGTCTCAAGAGTCACAGTTAGGAAATTTCTGTCTTTTGAAAGTCTGACTCAGCGAGAATAGGGGTTTTGTTTTGCTTGTTTGGCTATATAGCTGTGGCTGGCCTGGAAGTCACTGGGTAGACCAGGCTGGCCTCAGTCTTGCTATCTATCTGAAGTGACCTTGAAGTTTGGTTCTTCCTGATTCCAACTCTAGGTGCTAGGACGAAAGGCCCGCACCACCTTGCCTGGTATAAATACCCTTTTCGCTGCTTTTGTTCTCCTGGTTGGTTTTTTGAGGTGGCCCAGACAGCCTGGGCTCAAATGGTCCTCCTGCCTCAGCCTCTATAGGTTTGCATCAGTCCAATAGCTCTACTTACGTTATGCCATAGCTCTGTTCTTTATGTTTTTTTTTAAGTTTTTTTGTTTTGATGATTAAGGTCTCACACTGTGCCAGGTTGTGCATGGGGTGCTCTCAGAGAACAGTGAACCAGGTGTCGCTACTGCTCAACTCAGGGTGCTGTTCCAGGGCTGCATCAACAGGGCATTCACAGTCTGCAACTTAAAAGAACACAGGAAACACAGTCTTTTGAGCATGTAATTTCCTGGTGAAGACAGTGGCTTTAGACTCATTAATAGCAAGTTTTAGAGTGAGAGCCAGTGTGCTCAACATTAGGGCAATCAGTGGAAGCTATCAGGCTCAGGTAATGAAAAGGTGTGCAAGCCAGGCAGTGGTGCACACCTTTAATACCACCACTTGGGAGGCAGACGCAGGATGATCTCTGAGTTCGAGGTCAGCCTGGTCTACAGAGTGAGTGCCAGTACAGTCAGGTCTACACAGAGAAACCCTGTCTCAAAACAAAACCAAATGGCGACAGGGTAGGCAGAGCAGGAATAAAACCCTGACCTTGAATTGAAATCTTTTCTGAACAGGACCACTCCGAGAATGCCATTGGCGTGGCTTCCACGGTGGCCCATGAGATTGGCCACAACTTTGGCATGAGCCATGATTCTGCACATTGCTGTTCTGCCAGCGCAGCCGATGGCGGGTGCATCATGGCTGCTGCCACTGGGTGAGTCAACCAGAAGGATGATGTTGGGGGAGGGGAAGAGTGAAGTGAGAGATACCAGGTCAGCGTGACCCAAGTAGTCCTCCTAGATGGCCCCAGTGAAAATTTTAAACTGTTGATGAAGACATTTAGATGAAGTAGGCAAATGTGTTGTGGGACACTAAGTTCCTCCAAGCAGGTTGGTGCTGGTTGATCACTAGATTGAGTTAGTTTGTTGTAGTTTTCAGTTTTCAGTAATAAAATTGGCCTCAACACACTTTTTTTTTTTTGAGTGCACATGAGAGAGTGTCTTGCCCAATCTGATCTTCAGTTTGTGAATGTAAGCACTCTGCCCACCCCAGTCATCCAGTGTCTGGGGCGTTAAGTATGTGCTACCACACCCATATGCCCAGTTCTTCAGGAAGTCTCTTAGTTAAGGTTTTCATTGCTGTGAAGAGACACCATGACCATGGCAACTCTTAAGAAACCATTTGATTGGGGTTGGCTCAATTATAGTTTCAGAGGTTCAGTCCAGTATCTTTATGATAGGAAGATTGGTGGTGTGCAGGTAGATCATGGAGCTGAGAGTCCTACAACTTGCAGGCAACAGGAAGTGGACTGACAGTTACACTAAGGGAAGCTTGAGCAAAAGAGACCTCAAAGCCCACCCCCACAGTGACACACTTCCTCCAACAAGGCCACACCTCCTAAAGGTGACACTTCTTTGGGGGCCATTTTCTTTCAAACCACCATAGGAAGCTTCATGAGACCCTATTTTGATCATAACCACAAAGCTTGTTCCTTCCATGCCATCGTGATCAGTGTTGCTGGATCCCAGGCCTCTTTGGGAACTCTGTATTGTACAGAACAAGAGGAGAAGGGGGCAGCCACCCATTCCTCAGGGAACCTGTGAAGAATATGAGCAAGGCTACTGAGTCTGCAGCAGATTTTCTAAACCATAGCTTCTTCTCATGTCTGTCCTCAGCTCACACCATGGCGTTCTTCAGAACTCAGGCCACTCCCCAGAAGGCATTGCGGTAGAATTCTTATTCTCTTCCTGCATTCCAAACCACTGGGGTCTGCTTATACTTTCTAGAGAAAGATGGTTCAATGCAGCTTTCTTGTTTGCAGCATTAGTGTTTACTCCTCACTTCTTGGCTGCTGTGACCCCGAAAAAATGATGGGGACGTGTGGGTTACAACTCCACGGGCATATTCAAATTCCTTTGAGTTCATCGTGAAGTCCACCCCTTTCTTCGCCAATCTCAGTAGAGCAGTGGCTCTCAACCTGCCTAACCCTGCGACCCTTTAATACAGTTCCTCATGTTGTGGAAACCCCCAAACATACAATTCTTTTATTGCTATTTTATAATTGTAATGTTGCTGCTGTTATGAATCATAATGTAAATATCTGATATGCAGGCTATCTGATGTCCGACCCCAAAGGGGTCACAACCTACAGAACTGCAGCAGTAGACAAATGGCTGACAGTTGTATTCATTACGACTCTCGTGTGTTTTTAGGTCATTCACACATTGTAGGTTAATGATGAGTAGCAAGTTCCTTGGGGCATACTGTCATACTGGAGGAAGCCTTCAGTGTTAACCTTTAGTTGGTGAGAATTAAGGGCAGCCTTACTGGGGTCTCTGTCTAGAGAGCCATGTGGTGACATAGCAGTTTCTCCATATTTATAGCTTGTTCTGTGTGTGCAGTTGTGTGATTTTCCTACCCATGCCTACGATGATTTTAATTTATAAAGCAGGCACTTGGTAAGAGGTTAAAACCATGAACTCAAACTAGACCATTTAAAACAGTGACAATAATAAAATTTACTTGACACTTAGGACTTGTCCATTTCCAGAAGTTTCTGTTTAATATTTTCTGATCCCTGTTGACTATGGGTAACCAAAACCATGGCCAGCAAAGCTGCAGGCAAGGGACCTGCTGCCCTTTAGGTTTGTTTCCATAGCAGCAGGTGATTTGGGAGCTTTTGTACGCACTCTGGTGATGGAGAGCTCACATATATGTATTGGTCAATGGGATTTGCTTATCTGGAGAACAAAGATCAGCCCTTTAGCCCATTAAGTAAATGAAACCCATGATCTCGGGCTTTCTGGTTCTGTTTTTTTGTCGTGAGAAAATAGATACCCAGCTGGCCTTGAGCCGGCTGGTGTTCTGTTCGGCTCTCAGTATGGAAACCTGTCTTAATGTACTTATTGTCTTTTACTTACTCTAGTTCCCTCGTGGGAAGGACGGATATTGCTGTTCTGTTTCTTAACTTCCATTTTTCATTTGTAATAAGAAAAATGTAACCACATTGCATGCTTATCATTTCGTGATTCAGGATAAAAGAACTCTAAGTTCATGAATTGACGAGTGTCCTGGGGCAGAAGGCATGGGTAGGGCTTTTATTTAGGTGGAGTTAGCTTCCTGGATGGCAGAATGGCGAGCTCATGCCCCCTTGTTCTCTGACAGGCACCCTTTCCCCAAAGTCTTCAGCTGGTGCAACAGGAGGGAGCTGGACAGGTACCTGCAGTCAGGAGGCGGGATGTGTCTCTCGAACATGCCAGACACTCGGACCCTGTACGGAGGCCGGCGGTGTGGCAATGGGTACCTGGAAGATGGCGAAGAGTGCGACTGTGGGGAGGAGGAGGTGAGCGTGGGGCCTGGCTAGAGAGAGGGGAGACCCTACATTGTTGTCAGAGCTTCAGGCCATCAGAAGGACGGCGTGCCAGATCACTTTCTAGTAGCCAGCATTTCCTACACATGGCGACCACAGACCGTTTGTGTGTAAGATGTATGCAGTCTCCAGGTGGATGGTCTCTCTGGCCTCTGCTGCTGTGGGCAATGGCTCAAGCCACAGACCTCCCCAGAGGAGCCCCAGGTGGTGTCTCCAGCTGCCCTGAGTTTACTCTGGAGGCCTGAATCTACCCAGCCGGAAGAGAGCATGAAGCTCACACAGATGAGCGCAGTGAGAAGCCTAAAGATGCCAAGCTTGCACGGTCACGGTTTAGCCTGGAGAAGAGAAGCGGGGAAAGGGAAGCCGAGGAAGGAGAAGCAGAACTCATGGATGGGTCTTTCCTCCTTCGGAATGAGTGTGGAGTGCACACCCCCAGCTCTGTCATTTTTATCAGAAACATGTTTCTTCTCTGGAAAAAAAAAGCAGAACTAGATTGTTTCGCCTCTGGTTTTTGTTTTTTTTGGTTTTTTTTTTTTTTTTTTTTTTTTTTTTCGAGACAGGGTTTCTCTGTGGCTTTGGAGCCTGTCCTGGAATTAGCTCTGTAGACCAGGCTGGTCTCGAACTCACAGAGATCCGCCTGCCTCTGCCTCCCGAGTGCTGGGATTAAAGGCGTGCGCCACCATCGCCCGGCTCGCCTCTGGTTTTTGAAGGATGAGAAAATGTTAACCCTTGCTTGACAGCTGGTGAACAGTAGGTGATGTTGTGGCTGCGCTACTTGAGGTGTCAGTATGATCTCTATGTCGAGAGGTTCTTTTGGTTTTTCTACATGCATTTATTTTGTGTGTGTGCGCGCGCATGCGTGTGCATGCGTATGTAGGTCAGAGAATAACACCAGAGAAGTTGCTTTCCTTTCTCCTTACACCATGTGGAGCCCAGGGATCAAACTCAGGCTGCCAGGCTTGGCAGCGAGTGTCTTCGCCCACTGGGCCATCTTCTGGCCTTGTTTTTAAAACATAACCCTGTAACTTTCAGAGTGAAGGGGCTAGTGAAAGACTGGGAAACATGGACTAAAAGCAAGGATCCGCCCTGGTCCTTCAGAGGGAGCTCTGTTAGGAACGGTGCTGATGGGAGGATTTTGCGGGCTCTGTGTGACCTCATAATTAGAGGATATAATACCTACCCAGAATAGTCCCATCTACCACACAGTCCCATCTAAGCTGTGGTTTCTCTAGGAAGGGTGCACCTGTGTCTCTTCTCTGGCAAATACTCATTACCTTCATGAGATCCTGCCAGGTGATGTTCTAGGGAGCAGAAAACATGGCAGGGCAGGCAGGCTGGAGCTGGAGGTGGCAAGGGCGCCCCCTGCTGGACTCTGACTCTTGCCCTGTTGCTGCAGAGGCCAAAAGCTATCTGTTGTTACCTCCCCAGGAATGTAAAAACCCTTGCTGCAATGCCTCCAACTGCACTCTGAAGGAAGGGGCCGAGTGTGCCCATGGGTCCTGCTGTCACCAGTGTAAGGTAAGTGCCGTCTCCCCCTGCCTCGGGCTCTGAGATGACAGGCTAGTGGGTGATGACTCTGTTTCAGCCTGCATTAAAAGGTCTAGATGCAGGGATTGGGAGAATAGCTCGTAGTAGAATCTGTGGTGTTGGTGTTTTTTTTTTTTCCTTTTTTGGCTCTTTGGTGTGTGTGTGGGGGGGTGCGCCACCCAGCTCTCAAATAAATACACATGGAGACTTATTATTATTTATTAATGCCAGGCCTTAGCATGGCTTGTTTCTTGCCAGTTTTTCTTCACTAATACCATCTACCTTTTGCCTCTGGGCATTTACCTTTCTCTATAATCCATATATGTTTTCTTTCCTTCTTATTCCATGTCTGGCCGTGTGACTGGCTGCCTGGCCCCTTCTTTCCTCGCTCCTTCGTCCTCTCCTCCCAGATTTCTCCTCTGTTTTATTCTCTCTGCCTGCCAGCTCCACCTATCCTTTCTCCTGCCCAGCTATCAGCCGTTCAGTGCTTTATTAGACCGTCAGGTGTTTTAGACAGGCAAAGTAACACAGCTTCACTAAGTTAAACAAATGCAACATAAAAGAATACAGCACATTTTTGCATCATTAAATAATGTTCCACAGTATAAACAAATGTAACACATCTTAAAATAATATTCCTGTGCTTTCATGCTCAGGGACCAGGGTTCAACCCCAGCATTGAGAAGATGGGAAAGGAGAGAGAGAGGGAGAGAGAGAGTGTGTGTTAGGTATTTGGAACTGAGAATGTCCCTTCAACTAAACCTACTGTTTTTCCACCCTGGACCTCCTTGTGTTCAAATCACCCCAAAGAAGTACATACATACATACATACGTATATGTGTATTTATATAAGATTAAGATATATATATCTTTTTATTTTGAAACAAGATCTCTCTCAATTATTCAGGGTGACCTTGAACTTACTCTGGAGTCCAGGCCAGTTCTGACATCACCTCCCAGGAGGGATTGTAGGCCTCAGACACCAGGCCCAGCTAGGCTTCGTTTTTATTTAAACACATTAAAAAGAAAATCGTGATTTTGATTAACATCAGTGGCCATATTGGTAGAAGTCAAGCACCCGGCTGAGAATTTTACACAGGTTTTCTGAGTCAAATCTTCATAGATGGCCTGTGAGGCAAATTTTATTGCCTTCATTTTTAAGGGCAGGAAACCAGGGTCATTAGGGCATGGGCGACATAGTCAAGGGTTCCATCAGGGTGAGAACCCAGTTCTCCCTGACTTTGGAACCCACATTCCTAATATCCATGCAGAAAATAACTTATTACTATTAATGATCACATAGCACTGAATAAGAGAACTTTTTAAATCTAAATCTGATCATTCAAAAAGTTCTGAAATGGAAAAAAAATGATAAGTTTTAGCGACAAAATCTGACCCAAATGGATATGAGACTATTTATTGTCTTTATGAAGAAATTATATCATAAAGTAATATTTTAATTTCACCTTAATGTTGACTATAAAGCTTATCTTAGGCTTTGCTGGGTTATATAATACACATATATAGCAGCAAATATATTTATAATTATACACATCTATTCATATACATTGCATTGTTAGACATATATGTATATATACACACACATACACACACTATTATTCATGTACATATGCATTGTTAGACATATATATGTATATATATATACACACACATACACACACTATTAATGATATTTGTACCTCTGAGTTCTCTTATTAACCTAAAATCTGGACTCTAGAGGAGTTTCAGAATAGAGATGCGGCCTGTCCCGCCCACAGATTACCGAGTGCACATTGTGTAGCTGAGTGTGTGTATGGACTGAGGCTTTTCCTCTTTGCACTGGCCTTCCTCACACAGGCCCGCTAGCAGAGGGGCCTGCCTGCTTTTTCTCCCAAGAAGAGCTTCTGGGTAGCATGGTCTCCGGGATCAAGGGAGGGCTTTGCTCTGAGTCACAGGTGTCCTTGCCTGGCTCAGGGGGACTTGAACATCATCTGTTTGACCTGGCAGCCCCAGAGAGGCTGTGCTAGGTTGAGTCCTTCAAGTCTCAGATGAAGACTAAAGAATAAGCATGAAGTGACCTTTTACCCGGCTCCCATGTGTCAGATGGAGCCTCACAAAGGCTTCCTTGACTTCCAGCCCTGCCTGTGTGAATTCTGGCACTTCACCAACCATCTGAGGTCTCAGCTGTCTGTCTGCAGACTGGCATGAGCACTAAACACTCTGCCGGGGGAAGCCGAAGTCAAAGCTTTTAAATTGGTTTTTTTTTAATTGTTTTCCCAAATGTGCTGTTGTTCGATTCTTTAATCTGCAGAAGAGGATAAGTAGCTGTATCTGTTTCACGGATATTGTGAGGTCAGATGACCTAAGTGTTTAGACAGCACTCAGCCTCACGCTTGGCCTAGCAGCGGGGATGTATTGCTGATGAAGAGTTTGGAGTCGCAAGCTTAGTGTGGCGAGACATGTCTTAGTACTCCAGAGGCTACGGCAGGAGGATTGCCATGATGTCAAGGCTAGTCTGCGCTCAATAATGAGTTTGAGGCTAGTTTCAAGAACAAAACGTGAAGGCTGTAAATTGAAAATTCACACACATGCCAGTCTTCTGTGTGTAGTATGTGCGTGTGTGCGTGGGCATATGTGCACATATCAGGGCACAGATCTGCCACTTACCACGAGACTCTGAGCATTGTGTTTCACTTCTTTATATAGGACTGCCCCTCAAACTAAATGAAGTCCCAATGACACTTAGGTGAAGATGCATAAAGGTACTATAATTGCCCAGGCACGAAATAAACTATAAATTGTTACGTACATATTATTTCTCGCCTGCTTCCTAAGACTGCTGTGAAAAGTTAGTGAGCTGCGTTTGCCTTTGTGGGTACAGTTTCGAAGGTGCTCAGTCCCTGTTCATACCAGAAGGCCAATGACGGCCTGAGCTAATGAAGCCATGTGCTAATAGGTGCTGGGATATCAAGGTAATGGAAAATTGTGATCCGCTGATGAGAGGCTGAGGAGCCCTTGGCTGAAAGGGTTGTGGGACAGGGAAAATATGACTGCATTGCTTTTCTTGTTCTTCAACTCAGCTGGTGGCTCCTGGAACCCCGTGTCGCGAGCAGGCGCGGCAGTGTGACCTCCCCGAGTTCTGCACTGGCAAGTCTCCCCACTGCCCCACCAACTTCTACCAGATGGACGGCACCCCCTGCGAGGGCGGCCAGGCCTACTGCTACAATGGCATGTGCCTTACTTACCAGGAGCAGTGCCAGCAGCTTTGGGGACCTGGTAAGGACCCTGCTGGAGAGCTTGTTGTCTTCCACCCACCGCTTCTGAGCCAGTCTCCCCCCTGGCCACTTAGCATGGCCTAGAACCTTGGCTTCAGAGCGTCTTCAAACACCATCTCTCATCCTCTTAGCTCAAGGGAGACATCCAGGGGCAGCCAGGTGACAGGATTCTTCCTAGTCCCTTGAGGCTTTTAGTTCTAACAGGGTATTGGATAGCAGTACCCTCCCTTACACGCACCAATGAAGTGGAAATGGAGACTAAAAGAAAATGCAAACGACCCTTAAGCTACAAAAGATGCTTAACCTCAGTCATATTAAAGGAAAATAAATTGTAGCTACCATTAAATGGAGTTTTTCACGTATCAGATCACAAAGACAGCAAGTGATATAATAATAGCAACACCTATCATAATATGGTATTGTGGAGGATATGAGGAAACAGACCACTGGAGAAAGCAGTTTAGAGATAGCAGAACTTTTAATGTACTTACTGGTCCCAGTAGTTATATTAGGCTTAATTTGTTTCCACTCACCCTTTTTTCTAAAAAGTTTTTACATGGCATGGAATATATGAGGATATAAAAATAGACATATACAGTAAACATTTATTGATAATAAATCATAAGGGAATTTATTATAAAATAATCTTTCACATATATTTAGTTTTGCCAGCGCAAATTTACACTTTAATCAATGAGTATCCTTGTTTGCTTTTTATATAAAGAATTAAATCTTGGCTAAATAGTTGATGGTACAGGTCGTAGAGGGTCTTCAGCACTTCTTAGAATTGATCGATATCATGATTTTATCATTGTCAGTGATAGGAACACCAACTCACATCAATATGTGGGACAAAAATTGCAAAAATAAGTCTATGGTTTTACCAGAAATTGTTGAAAATTCTGTTTTAACCCCAAATCATGAATCATTTAGTAATTTTTAGTTTTAGTTTTTGAGATACGGTCTCACTGTGTATTGATTGCCTGCTGGCCTAAAATGTACTATGTAGTCCAGGCTGGCCTTCAGTGCTCAGAGATCCACCTGCCTATGCCTCTCAAGTGCTGGGATTAAAGGCATGCACCACACTCGGCTAGGATTATTGTTTGATTACTTGTTTTTTTGTTTTTTTTGTTTTTTTTGTTTTTTTTTTTAAGAAACTCAAGTCTGCCACTCAAGCAGCAGTTTTACAAATCAAACCATCTAACAAAATGCAAACATTAATCTGGTGCTTAACTGCTGAGGTATAATAGTAGGGAAAACATTAAGACTTCGTTTTCCTTGATTAACCCGCTGCACAAGAGACAGCAAGCCAGCAGTACAAACACGGCCGTTCATAATATAAAGTAGCCTCACGTCTGAGCTGAGGGATTTCAGTGCCATTCATTGGCTGTGTGCAAAGTGTGCAAGTGTGTTGAGAACCGTAGATGCCGTGAAGTCACATGATGTAGTATGGATAAGCTCTGCCAGAAACACCTTGGATTCATTACATGTTCTGTTTTTAATTAATTGTGGTCACATTCAGAAACTCGTTACTGTTGCCCATTTTCTGAGCCCCTCTCCCAAGATCCAGGTATGGGACTCCATCTGCCACCATTTCCAGGAGCTGGGAATTAAGAGGACTTAGAAACAGCCTCCAATTGTGCTTGGGATGGGTGTGAAGATGTTTTCGAAGATGTTTATTGTACTGTTGCCAGTTGTAGCAACAGTGTCCTAGGTGCCCTGTAGTACCAGCCAATTAAAAGTAGCCCAGTTGAGTCATGCAATGAATGCCGTGCTGCTGAGTTCCGTGTCCTGAATATGATCACCCCTGCAACAAACTGAGTCACAACACAAAATGCAGAACAGAAAGAGAGAAGATGCTTCCACTGTTTGTTCCATTCTCTCAAGAAGATGCCCCAGAATCGAATATAAGGGATGCAGAAGATAAAGAAGATAGCCAGGTGGTGATGGTGGTACACACCTTTAATTCCAGCACTTGGGAGGCAGAGACAGGCGAATCTCTGTGAGTTTGAGGCCAGCCTGGTCTACAAGAGCTAGTTCCAGGACAGGCCCCAAAGCTACAGAGAAACCCTGTCTCAAAACAAACAAACAAACATAGTTTTCTTCCTAGAAAACACACAGCTAAAGATGGTTGGTTTTCTATAATACAGGAGAGAGAAAACAGGGCAAATTATAAAGAAAAAATTCCAAAGATATGGTTTAGCTCTATAATGTTTTGGACATGGATTATTAATCTTTCGAAGACCAGAAATAGGACAGCCCTTCTTCATTAGCAAGCAAGCTTAACATGCAACTATCATAGGTACACGTCTTCAATGAAGTGTTAAAACCAATCTAAAATAATTTGCCTGAAACAGTCTTGATGAATATAGAAGTATCATATTACCTGAGGCTAGCCCTGCCGCTGGGAGCCTCTGGCAGGCTTGCTCACTGACAGGTGTTTCTTGCACACCTAGGAGCCCGGCCTGCCCTTGATCTCTGCTTTGAGCGGGTGAATGCAGCTGGAGACACCTATGGAAACTGTGGCAAGGGCTTGAATGGCAAATACAGGAAGTGCAGCCCCAGGTGAGGACCATGGGAGAAAAGAGTGACCAAGTGATCCGAGCTCTGTTCTCTTCACTCCCACCTGGCTTCGTGTGGCTGGCCCTTTTAAACAAGCCAGTGAGATCCTGTATCCGTTCTCTCTCTGTTGTTTGATAATACATGGTCCAGTTGGACCTAAGGAAGTAATAAAGAAGTGTGTGTAGCATTGCTTCTTAGGAAGTTGAGCAAGGTTGCTTTGGGGACTCTCTTAGAGCAGGGCAGGATAGCTGGACGTGGTGGCACAGGCCTTTAATCCCAGTATTCAGAGGCAGGTGTGGGCAAATCTCTGTGAGTTTGAGACCAGCTTAGTCTACAAAGCAAGTTCCAGGACACCCAGAGCTGTTATACAGAGAAACCCTGTCAAAAAAAAAAAAAAAAAAAGGCAGGACAGAAGATGGCCCTTTTGGACCATTTTTTTGCAGAGTGCTAAGATTATGGCCTGTTCTTTGATTCATCCCTAGTTCCTTCATTTCTGATTCATTCATCCCAGGCACCCACTGACCCATCTTTTACCTACTCACTTTCCCACTGCCTTTGCAGATTTATCACATGCAAGATGTATATTGAGTGTCTAGAGCAGTGATTCTCACCTTCCTAATGCTGCGACCTTTCAATAGTTCTTTGTGTTGTGGTGACCCCAACAAGAAAATTATTTTTGTTGTGACTTCATAACTGTAGCTTTGTGACTGTTGTGAATTGTAACGGAAATACTTGTTTTCTGATGGTCTTAGGTGATGCCTGGGAAAGGGTCATGTGACCCCCAAAGGGGTCACGACCCACAGGTTGAAAAACACTGGTCTAGAGCATTATGATAATCAGTGTAATAGTTAATAGCTTGGGGTGGTTTCCCCAAGAAGTTCTTTGGTTGAGTTCTATAGCAGATATCTACATGAACAGGGTGAGGAGTCACACTGGTGTATAAAGAAGTGTTTTATGTAGAGAGGTTAGAGAAAAACTGACAGTTGACAAGCCGATAAATACAGTAAGCTGCAATTTGTGGGGACTAGAGGAGAGGGGCCATGAGAAATGAGCATGGCTAGAGGAAGTGGGGTGGATCCTGAGAGACTTAAAGGGGAAGTGGGATGGATCCTGAGAGATTTAAAGGCATTGCTGGAAGAGTTTGGTCTCCTCCTATGGACAGAGCAGTCAGGGGCCTCGGTGTCTGGCAGGTCAGGATAGAAAGAAGGTAGTAACAGGCATGAGTCAGGGAGACTGTAGGAGGGATGATTGACAGGGAGAGAAATGCTCAATCCCAGGAGCAATGAAGTCAGAGGGAGACCCAGCTCCTCGCTGGAGTGTCTGGTTTGGTTGTGTGATGAACATAAGGTGGCAGCCATGACTCATGCCTTGCAGTTATCCTTGAAGCTAGGGCATCTCAAGTTCAGCTCTTGGCCTCGGTCTGAGAGACAAGGAGCCTGCCCCCTCTCTTGGTCTTCCTTGGGTCTCTAAATGGTCCTTGGCCCTACCCTGCCTAACACTGAAGCTCTGCATCCCCAGCTCCTCCCCAGTCTTTGATACTGTCTTCTCTCCCCGCCCAGGGATGCCAAGTGCGGGAAGATCCAGTGTCAGAGCACCCAGGCCCGGCCCCTGGAATCCAACGCCGTATCGATTGACACCACCATCACTTTGAATGGGAGGCGGATCCACTGTCGGGGCACCCATGTCTACCGGGGTCCTGAGGAGGAGGAAGGGGAAGGTGACATGCTGGACCCAGGCCTGGTGATGACTGGGACCAAGTGTGGTCACAACCACGTGAGTCCCTGCCCCAACCTCCCTCAGAAACTGAGATAGAGATAGAAATTGAGAAGTGTGGGCTTTGGAGGAAGGTACCCGGCTCCCAGAGTAATAACATCGCACCCACAGGTACCCGTCTAGAGGTGCCCACCCATAGACTGTGGATTAGGCATGTAAATGAACTCGCCACTGTCATCTGTATTATTAACCATCACATGAAGGAGAAGTAGTCTAAGGGCCAGGGAAACCAAGGAAAATAATGCCGCCCATCTCCTATATGTAATTGTGTTAGTGAAGTTATAAAAACAAAGGAATCCCATGGTACCGATGCCCAGCACAGAGTAAGTTCTGCCACAATTATTATTTTCAGGCATAAGGCTAAAATTAGTACACGTTCATTTTTGGATAGCAGATAATCAAGATAATACCAGACTGTAAATATGTCCTAATTGTTGAATGTAACATTTTAGCAGTGTTTGCTGTCTTCCCCAATCACAAAGGTGATAGCAGAATTTAATTACATGCTGCCCTGCCTTTTGGGGCTCTTTGTGTTTATCACTATAATATATCAGTCGAAGAGTTACCTTTTGGGGTTCCCATTCATCCTCAGTACAAAACTCCCATGTCCCAAGCCTTCCCCATCTCCCTGTGGCTCTACTGATGGCTGCTCACCCTTTCTGCAGATTTGCTTCGAAGGACAGTGCAGGAACACCTCCTTCTTTGAGACCGAAGGCTGCGGGAAAAAGTGCAATGGTCACGGGGTATGTGTGCAGAAGCCTGGGTTCCTGGACGCTGGTGTCCCAAGGGTGTGTTCTGTGGGAGGTCACCGCTCTCCTAGGTGCTGAACTGTCTGTGGCCCCTCACTCTAGGTCTGCAACAACAACAAGAATTGTCACTGCTTCGCTGGCTGGGCTCCACCGTTCTGTAACACCCCAGGAGATGGCGGTAGCATTGACAGTGGTCCTTTGCCCCCCAAGAGTAAGTGAGATCAATGGAGACCATGGGGATGGGTAATTGATGGTCAGGAGCAACCAACCCGTTGGCACTGAAATATGGCATTGTTGTCTACAAATGTGTTGGGCTGGAGTCATAGGTACAGTGGAATACTGGGGGCTGTGAGCCATAGGCTGGATTTGCCTGTTGCAAAGTCCAAGTTAAGTTGGCTTCACTCTCTTCATTCTCCAGGGAGGAGCCAAGAAAAAAGAGGCTGAGTCGGAGGAAGTCAGTTGCTCCTGCATGGCTTGGGCCTAGCTGCCATTTTGTCCTTTTACTGCTAGGAGGGGAAGAGAGATCAAGAGAGACTCTAGGTCTTTGGATAGTCACAGATATTTGCCTGACAAACTAGTAACTAGTCCTTTTAGGGGCACTTGAAATAATCACAGTCCTGGGGTGTACTGTATTGGGTTATTCTGCCTTTTACTAAACAAAGGCTAAGAAATGGGAAAGCAGAGAAGTTTTAAGTTTTATAGTTCTTATGAGAAGTCTGGGGACCTCTACTCCTGTGGCTTCTAAACTTGGTCTTCGAATAATTGCAAAAGAAATTTTTAAAAAATACAAGGCTAAAACCTGGGTGTGGTAGTTTCCACCTGTAATCCCAGCACTCAAGAGGTTGAGGCAGGAGAATTGCTGCAATTGTGAGGTGAATCTGTGCTGCACAGTGAGTCCCTAGGATACACAGTGAGACCATTGTCTTAAAAGACAAACAAAATAACATGTAAAATAGAGTAAAGTGGAGCTTTATTGACCCAAGTGTACTTTGTGTATTTAAACTTAATTCATGTAAACATAATTCGTGGAACTGTTGAGGTGGCTTTGGAACCGACTGTGAGGTTGAGGGTCGAGGGTGAGAGTTCTAATCCCAAGGTGTCTGAGCCAGTATTTTCTGGTCACTGGCCTGCATCTGGGAGGATTGTGATGCAGACTGACTTTATGAAAATCTATTAACTGGAAGCTAATGACAAATGACAGAGTCGGAACTGCTTTGGAGAGCTTTTCTGTCGTTGAAAGAAATTACTGTGGAGTTTTTTTTTTTTTTTAGAAAAGCCAGTGGGCTTGACTCTTAAAGCTAGTATTAGTGCCCCAATAGTATATGATGTATGTTTGTTTAAAATAAGTTGCACAAATGAAATGGAAACCAACTATCCGAGGAAGAATCGAGACTATATCGTTTTACCGTAGCCAGGACAGCCTCTAATCCTCTGGCTTGTGCTCTCTTCCGGCAGGTGTGGGCCCTGTGATAGCCGGGGTGTTTTCGGCCTTCTTTATGCTGGCTGTCCTCGTGTTGCTATGCCACTGCTATAGACAGAGCCACAAACTGGGCAAGCCCTCGGCCCTCCCTTTCAAGCTACGGCAGCAGTTCAGGTGGGATGGGCACTATGCCCGCAAGGACTTGGGGGTCCCTTCTAGTCTGCAGAACCCTAGTGGAAGAGTTGGTGGGTTGGTGGTGATGGGTCTAATTCTGGGGAGATGAATGCAGGGGACATGCCACCTTTATCCCTTCTGACCTGCTCTGTCACCATGGCAGACACGGTTAGGTAATGGCTGTAAGTGATTTCTACTGAGTGTGCTCATCACCTATTCTTCTCAATAGAAAGTACCCAGCCCATTCAAATTGGGGTATGACATAAAATCTCCTTGCCTTCCTCCACCTGGTTAATTTGTACCTCATTTTTTAAAGAGCAACAAACTAATGGACAGAGAAGGGATGGCAAGCTAAAGGCAGTCACAGGAATAGCTAAACATTTACCCGAGAAGACAAATGACTGTTTCATTTAGATATTGATGGAGCATATTCTCAAGAGTCCTATTAAATGTTCTTTGCTGGAAGGGATTTTTTTTTTTTCTGTCCTGACACCTTCTGGGTCAATGCCTGGGGGCGGGGTTCAGTAATGACCAATGAATTTCTGTCTCCTTACTGAGGAGTAGGGGGCAAGACCAATCCCTTCTTTGGATTTCTCCCCTGGTCACGTGTGTACCTATTTATTATTTAGGAGACAGGTTTGAGAGGGTCACCCTAATCTCTCCAGAGGAGGGTTCATTAGGTTTGTCAGTTGGCCTGGGCCAGAGGAGCTCAGTCCACACACAGCCTTGACCGTCTCCCTCCTCCCTGTCCCCTCCTCTTTGTTTCCAGTTGTCCCTTCAGGGTGTCTCAGAGTGGTGGAACTGGCCATGCCAACCCAACTTTCAAGTTGCAGACACCCCAGGGCAAGCGAAAGGTAAAGGCTTTGCACCACTGAGCTTGATTGGTTTCCTTTGATCTCTGTCTTTCTAAGTCTTTCTAAGAGTTCACGGGTGTCCATGGGATTGGTGATGAAAGCCATTCTATTGGTCTGGGAGACACATCAGTTGCTTCTGAAGCCTGCGATCTAATGGGCTGAGTAGGTCAGCGTGTCTGTCCTGCCTTTAAGTGAGACTCTGGTCACCTCATTGAAACACACGTATAGAGAGACTGCCTCATTTCAGCTGTCCCTTGTCTCCTCCATACAGGTGGCCAACACCCCTGAAACTCTCCGAAAGCCCTCCCATCCTCCTCCCCGGCCCCCTCCAGACTACTTGAGTGTTGAACCCTCACCTGTACCATTGCCAGTACACCTGAACCAGGCTGCCAGGAGCTCCCCGGAAACTAGGGCTCAGGTAGAAAGAAAGGAGTCCACCAGGAGGCCTCCCCCAAGCCGGCCCATGCCCCCTGCACCTAACTGCCTCCTGTCCCAGGTAAGTGAGTTCTCAGCAACCCTGTGCTGGGGCATTGCCCATAGCAGGGTGCCTGCAATGAGGGACACTGGAGCCTGGGGTGATGTACTGGTTGGATTTGATCATCTTTCCTTTGTACTGGTGAATCAGATGGATTCCGGAAGTTCAGCAGTAAGAGGAAGAAGTTTCTTCCTTGCACAGTCCCTAAACCACATGATGCCTTTTTTCCTATTTGATTCCACCCACTTTGTACCCCAAATTAGCTTCTTTCAGTTCCCTGAGCTCTTGTTCCCTCCAGTTCATTGCAGATGCTGTTTTGACTCATACATATCCATATCCCTTTGCTTGGCCAGCTCCTATTCATCCTCAGTTGTGATTGGAGATAACACTCCTCCTGAGGGGGCTTCTCTAACGCTTACAAGGCTGAACTTAGTGCCCTGTACCTCTCTCATTGTACCCATCCCTGCAAAGTGTACCCACCAGTTAGCTCCCATTCATCAAGGAGTCTCACTAAAGGGTGCACCTGATGCCTTGCTTATCTGAGGGGGGTCTCTGGGAGGCAGCAGGTCTAGACTGGGCCCCTCATTTGTAGCTGGTAGTCACAGCTTGGAACCCTCACCCAGTGGCTTGTTTGCTTAGCAGGTCTACTCTGGTCTAAGTGCCCCAGTGGAGACATGGGTATTTCTTGGGCAGTGGCCCAGCATGGTGGCTTCTAGAACTGTCTGTGTGTTTGGTGTTAGAGGATTCCTTTCTTTTGACATGGTCCAAAGGCGTCCCCAGGGCTGGGCTTCTCTGATCACAGCAACCACAGGGGCAGTGAGGATTTGGTATGGTCCCTAGGGCATGGTTCCATGAGGGTTTTGTATGGTCCCTATGGCATGGGGCGGTGAGACTTTGGCAGAGCTGAGGGTGTTGGGTTGGGTTCTGTGCTGTGAAGCTGCTGCTTCTAAGTTCCTGGGGGGTGGGGCAGGGATGTGATCTACAAATCCATGTGGGGGAGAGATCGACTTGATGCATCTCGAATTTAGCATACCCAGACTCAGGCCTACCTAATCACTTTAAACACGAATCCGTGACATGGAGATACACATGCCCCTAAATGGGCCTGCTCTGATTATTTTGTAAATTATGACCTTAAACTGAGCGTGCTCAGGGATGCCCACCTTATGAATGCGAATGGACTCTTTGGATAAAGTTGCCTTGCTGCCACCTGTGGAGGGGACGTAGTTTAGCGAATCCTCACCATGCTCTCCTTGCTTGCAGCAGGTTATTGGCCTCTGCTCTGCTTCTTCACTCACCAAGAATCAGGTTATGGCATCCGACTGGCTGCTTTGGGAGGCCCAGTGCTGGGAAACCCAGGGCAGACTTGATCACCTCCTGTGCAGATAACAACCACCCAGGGCTCACTTGGCAGTTTCCCAACTGGGACCTGACACCCACACCCCACTGTCTTTCCCTGAAAAGCCTGAGTTCTCTGGCGCAGTCTAGGTTCCCTCAGAAAGGGTAGAGCTGGTGTGTGAGTTTTTGGTCTCAGACAGTTTTGACTTCTCTAGCTTCACTTTTTGCTCCGAGAAGTCATTCTTGTGTGGAAACCAACTCTGCAATGTGTCTGCTTCCTGTACACCTACCCCGTGCCTAGCTTGGAGTTCACTAGCTCCCCTCATAGACAGGCTAAGGAACTGGCTTTTCTCAAATCTCATCAGCTTGGGGGCAGGCTATAGTTGCCCCTTAAAGCATTTGTTTAAAGAAATTGAATAGTGGGGTTGGAGAGATGGCTTGTGGTTAGGAGCACTTGCTGCTCTTGTAGAGGACCTGAGTTCAGTTCCCAGCACCACATCTGTGAGTTCCAAGGATCTTCTAGATTTTATGGGCACCTGAACACACAGGGCACACGCTCACACACGCACATAATCAAAAATAATACAAATAGCTGGGTATGGCGGTGCCTTTAATTCCAGCACTTGGAAGGCCAAGACAGGTGGATTGCTGTGAGTTCGAGGCCAACCTGATCTACACAGTGAGTTATAGGACAGCCAGGGCTATATAGAAAGATCCTGACTCAAAATAACAACAATGATAATAGTTATTTTTAGTTAAAAATCTGAGTAGCACAGAAATATGTATCTATTTTAGGACATTTGAATAACTCACTGATTTATGTACTTGTTGAGTTGAGGGCTTCCTGCGTACCAACCGCCCAGAAAGCCTGCAACAGCCCCATGACCTAGACAGAAAAGGTGCCCTGCCCCGCCTGCATTTTAGTCCCAGTCAGAGGTGGCTAGAGACAGAAAGTAAAAGCCTGACAAATTATTCAGGTTGGTAGGGATAAAGGCTATAAAAAGAAAGAAATGGAGTAAAATAAAATGACTTGGGGTACCACATGCTAGATAGAGATATGGTTAGGTAATAATAAGGAAAATTTTGCCATCTTGAGAAGGTTAAAAATAATCATCATGCCATGTATAGACAAAAGAAAAAATAATCCAAACAAAGTAGCAACAGTAAAAATCATGGATTCTTAAAGTTTTAATTTGTCCGGGTACTGCTTGTGGGTAGGTGTATGCACATCTCTCTCTCTCTCTCTCTCTCTCTCTCTCTCTCTCTCTCTCTCTTTCTCACACACTCTCACACACACACACTCTTTCACACACACACTCACACTCTTACACACACTCTCTGTCACACACACACACACTCTCTCTCTCTCTCACACACACACACACACACACACACACTCACACCATTCTTTCTGTTTCCCTGAACCACACCCACCCACTGAGATCCCATCCCAGAGTAGCCCTTCCTCTGTCGTCAGTTTGCTCTGTCCCTTCCTGGCTGGCTGCTGTTTACCTCTGTTGGCCTTGGGCAGGGACCGTGGTAGTCTGTTTTGTACACACTCCTCTGCTGGGCCCATTTCAGCTTCTCTGACAGATGACTGTCCTCATTAGCCCTTCCCCGCCTGCTTTGTTCTTTGTGCCTGCTGGAGTCCACATCCCTGGATACTTTTACATTTTTTCTCTCACTGCGGAAACTTCAGAAGTTTCTAGGTTCTCTGATGTTAGAAACAGAGGACAGGGCACATTCTTGCAGATCAACCTGGTGCACCTGTGCAAACAGTCTCTAACATGGCCAACAGGAAGTGTCACACTGGAGATGACCATTTCTATTTATTTATTTATTTGTACATTTATTTAATTAATTATTTTAGTTTTGAGACAGGGTCTCACTACATAGCCCTGGCAGGCCCAGAACTTACTATGTCGAGTAGGCTGGCCTTGAATTCACAGAAATCCACCTGCTTCTACCTCCTGAGTGTTGGACTTAAAAGTGTACACACCATGCCATACCCCATCTCTAAATTTAATATATATAGCCAACTTGTTTTTCAGAAAGTTCTTATTTTTTCCTTAGTATGTAAATATACTATTCCCACCCCGCACTTACACACACATGCGAGTTATTTAAAAATGAGACCGTCTAGTATGTAAGTTATTTGGGTTTGATCCATAAAATGTTAGGCATATTTTCTTTTGAAAGGAGCTCCTCAAATGAGACTTCTTGCTTCCTCCAGGACTTCTCTAGGCCTCGGCCACCCCAGAAGGCACTCCCAGCAAACCCTGTGCCAGGCCACAGGACAGTTCCCAGGCCAGGAGGTGGCTCCCTGCTGCAGCCACCTACTGCCGGTCCTCAGCCTCCCCGGCCTCCCACAATATCTGTTCCAAAGGTGAGTTCCCAGGAGGACCCAGAAATAGCAGCTGGGGACATGTGTGAATGAGAAAGCCATTTGCTCTCATCATCCTGGCGGAGCTTCTAGAACAGAAGCAGGAACAAGGCCTTGCTTGGAGGACTACTTGACTGTACCTTATATGAGCAAAGGATGATTTGCCTTCATTTGAGAAGCCTGAGTTCTGGTGGCTTCCAGCTACCTTGGCACCTGAACAGCTAGGCCACCTTGAGCCCTTGTCTAGATATTCAGACTTAAGATGTACCAGTAAGGTGGTTCACCAGGAAAGATAATTTTTTAAAAAGCCTAGGAAACAGTAGGGACCAGCTCCATAACATTGCTATGAAGGTCAAAGCCATTAATTTATATAAGCCTATCCACTTATGTCCCTTTCCTTAATGCTTCTCTCTGACTGCCCCGTTCTTAGCTTAGTCTGAGAAGTTGGGTCAGAAGGAATAAGGCAAGGAAGCTGGTTGCCATCCCTGAATCATTGGGAAACTGTTGTACTGAAGCCTGATGAAAGAGGAGGGGGCAACGTTTTAGCTTTGGGGCGGCACACAACTTGCTCTAACTGTGAGGGCTGTTGATCCAGGAAAGCAGCCATAGGGACAGACTTCTGAAGATCGTGCTTCTGTTCTTGACTGTCAAGAGCAGGAGGGTAGTTGCCCCTAGTCCCACTGGCCAGCACTGAGGTCACGTATTTCCCTTCCTCTTTCTTTCCAGCTTCCTGAATACAGATCACAGAGGGCTGGAGGAACAACCAGCTCCAAGATCTAGAACTGTATAGAAGTTTCTTGTTTCCCTTGAAGACTCTGGATGCCATGGAAGATCCAGAAAAAAGAAGTCTGCTCGGCCACCTTGAAGCTTCTCCAGCCTTCTGGAGCCCCCCTCATCTCCAGAATCTCCCTTCTCGCCCCAGTGCCTCCTATTTCCTCTGAGGCCCAGAAGGACTTCTATCTGATGGCTTCTAAGTATTGTCCTGTGCAATATACAGCCCTGGCAGGAAAGGGAGGCTGATGGAAGAAGACGGGGAAGATTCTCCCTCAGCCCCCTAGCCAAGAGCTACCAATGACAGTCAGGGAAGGTCTCAAGCTGGAGATCCCTCCTTCTGTGCCCAGCTTGGAGAAGGAATCTACGCAGGTCCCATGCTGGCAAGTACACAGGAGAACTTCTGTTGATTGGCCTTCTTCTGGGATCCAGGTTAGAGAGAGGCTGGGCCTTGCCTGTCTCTTAGCTTTCAGGGACTGAGGAAGCCGCTGCTGCATCCCTGCCCCAGGGCTTGGTCAAGGTGCCTGTTCCTGGTCAAATGACTGCATGCGTCAAGCCATGCTCCCCCGCTGCTCCTCACCTCCCCGCTCCCATATTTACACGGGTCACTCTCTGACTCAGACAGGTACTATTTGTAGGCAGCGTCGACAGCAGTGGGGAGTGGTCAGCCTGTGTCCCCTCTGAGCCGTGATGCCAAAGGTTGTTAGGACTCTCAGAATTCTCAACTGCCCATCCCCATTGTTTCGTGTGTCCCCTCCTCCTCTTCCAACCTCCCTATCCTATGGTGCTTTGATGGTGAAACCACAGCAGCCCTGACTTGCTGGTGACCATATGCTGATGACCGACAAATCAGGATCCTGCCTCACGGGGTAAGCACTGGACTTTCCTGCACTGGATCTCACGAGCATTGAGTTGAGTGAGGCTTGGGTGAAGGAGAAAGAAAGAGGAGCAGAGAGAGAGAACATGCCAGCTCTGCATGTAATTGTGGGTTTGGGCCTCAAGCAGGAAAAGGGTCCTCCCCCTATTTCTGACCTATATCCTAGGTGATATTTTTTGAGGTAGTCACAGGTATACTGAGGGGACAAGCATGTTTGAAATCCCAGTTATGAGGAAAGTATACACAGGGGCACTAGCCCCTCCCTCGTGGTCAGCTCTGAGGTGGGTCTGTTGACTCTAAAGAGATAGCTGATCTCTTTGGAAGCTGCCAGCAGCCACAGTAAACCAGATCTGGGCAGGGGGCCCCCAACCCTCCTCAGCCAGGGTCTTATCACGCACTTCCATTGGTTCTCTCTTAATTACTGCCTATATGTGATCCTCATGAAAAGAGCTCAGGAGGGCGTCTTGGTGCTGTGCTAGTTAGGGCAGTCCCTCCATAGTTGCTGGGCTTGGCCTCTGAGAGGCCATCTTCCATCACCCAAAAGGTGCTGGGATAGCACTCCAGAAGGTCCTCTAGGGGCCTTCCCACCACCACAGCGAGCAGTTACTAGCTCTTAGAAGCCTCCCTGAGGAGGAGACAAGCTTCTGACTCCCATTCATAGAAAACTTCCTGATTGCTCTTCACAGAGGAAACTCTCAACTCGAGCTCTTGGGGTTGTAGGCAGGTGGGAGATGTGGGGTGCATGGCCGAGGGTAGAAAGATCTCAGGAAAACACCTTTCTCCTCAGGGTGACCATGCGGTTCCCACTCCGACTCCCTGAGCCATGATGCAGAAGGTCGCACGGACCTAGGTCCATTTCCTGCCATCTGACAGTTTTCCTTACACGTGCTATGTCAAATGCCCAGTGACTACAGCTTGGGTCCTAAAATCACCCTGCCGCTCACCACCAAGTTAGAAACACCATTTCCCTTAAATCCGACCCCGTACCTTCTAGACGTTCTTGTGGGCTGTGTGGCCTTTCTCCCTCAGCTCAGGAGGCAGGTGGCCCTGAGGGACAGTGCCACAGCAACAGCATGAGCCTTCCGAACCTCGAGCCTTCGGTCCTTTGAACCGTACCAGAAAAAGACTCATTTCCTTGCTCTTCGGTAATCGTTTCCTTTTTTCCTTTGCCATTTTCATTGCTTTGATGCCACCTCCATTCCATAAAATTATACTGTGAACAGGAAGATGGCAGAAACTTGTTTAATTTGGTAGAGGTGCTGGCAGCTACTCTGTTTACAACTTCATGCCCACCTCTGTTATCCAAAGGTTAGGAAGGCTGCCACAGGTAGGGGCCCCTTCCTTTCCTTCTGCACCATGAAGTGTCCCATACAGATACATCTAGACTTCAGTGTCTGTCCCAAAGGGTTGTTTGCCACTCAGGAGAGGAAAGAGACTATTACCACAGAGAGAGAGAGAGGAGGGGATGATTGCGAGAGAACACTTCGGTCAACCTACCCCAAGTCTGGGCATCCAAGGCTGAAAAAAACATTTTCTTGTGCATAGAAAGAAAAATTTAGGCTGGGCGGTGGTGGCGCATGCCTTTAATCCCAGCACTTGGGAGGCAGAGGCAGGCGGATCTCTGTGAGTTTGAGGCCAATCTGGTCTACAAGAGCTAGTTCTAGGACAGACACCAAAAACTACAGAGAAACCCAGTCTCAAAAATAAAAAAAGTGAAATTTAAAAATGTTTGAAATGTATGCCCTGGCAATGCTGAGGCATGCGTGGGCAGCCCGTATATGGAGGTTCTGTTGAACTGTCCATATTGGGTTTCATGGTCTAAGTTGATGAGGACAACTGACCAGGTCTCTTCCGCCATAGAAATATCTGTTCTGTGTCCAGCCGCTATAGAGATGTTAGCGGACACTGAGGTAGGCCAAAGCCAAGGCTCTGATGGGCCGCGGGAAGTTCAGTTTGTAGCTGGGTGTGATGGCACATGCCTTTAGTCCCAACAGAGGCAGGCAGATCTCTGAGTTTGAGGCCAGACTGGTCTACATAGTGAGTTTCAGGACAGCCAGGGCTACGCAGAGAAACCCTGCCTCCAAAACCAAAATTGTATATATATGAGACAGGATCTCATATATCCCAGTTTGGCCTTCAACTCACTGAAAAGCCAAGGACGACCTTGGAATTCCCGAGTGCTAAGGCTACAGGTGTGTGCCACCACACTTGGTTTCGTAGTCCTGGGTTCAAACCCAGATCTTCAAGTACATTAGGCGAACACTCTACTGACTGAGATTCAACCCCAGCCCAGCCTGTAAATGTTCCAAGAAGCTAAATTAGCTGTCTGCCAACTATAGAGCCCTAAAGCCATTTCTGACCTATAAACATCAGGTCTCTAATCCCTTCCAAATTACAACTTCCTTCTTGCTTTCTGTTCCTTTAGCCTTGGTGACTTCCGCCTGTAAGAGAAAACCCCTTTGTGACCCCTCCCCCAAGACATGTAGATTTTAAGGTCTGAACGTCCTCTGCCATGCAACAGTCCCCGTCACTCCGCAGTAAGCCTTTGCCACAGTGTCTCCCCTGGGTTCAGTTAATTTGCCTATTAGATAAAGCGGGCGTGAGATTCGTATTCTTAAAATTGGAGGCACGTGCTAAAGCTGGTCGTTTTGTCAAATGCTTGTAGTGACAGCCCCCAAAGGACTCCACACACAGGTCAGGGAACACCAACTGGAAAGGTGCCCCTTCCCTAGGGACGCCTACTAGAGGTTCTATAGACTCCAAGCCCAATACCCGAATTATGCTCCCAGGTCCTCTTGTACGACTGTGTGTACGCCTGCATCTGGGATACAGGGCAAATGTGAATTTTCTTTTTATTTGGGAGATTGTTCACAGGAAGTAGTCCTCTCCTCTCTTGTCCTCCTATTGATTGTTTACAATATTTGTACATCTATGCAAAATACTTGAATGGGCCATGGTGCCTTGTTTTGTTATTTTTTGTTTTTGTTTTATTTTTTCTCCTTGTTTGTATTTAATTAAAACAAATTGTCATTGGGAAATACTATCTGTTTGGTCAGCTCTTTGTGTGTGTGTGTGTGTGTGTCTGTGTGTGTGTGTGCGCAGTTTCACTGTCCCACTGCGTGGACCATTTAAAACATGTGGCATGTACCTCTCAGAAAGAGGGCCCCTAGAGACCGCCAGTCTTCCCGCAAGGCCATGACCTGAGCCATAGTGAAGCCCCAGGTTTTCCCATGGCCAGCAGAGAGGCTTGCCTGCTGTTCCTGTGCAGAAGATGGTTTGGCTTCATTAGATCTTGGATTATCAAGGGCTTTAATGATCTTGAGATTCTAGTATGTTCTTTAGAAGGGGGCTGAGATGCTATGCTACCATCTCTCCTTACTAAGGGGCGTGTTCTAATGAAGGTGGGAGACTTGGTGAGGGTCTCTTGGGCTGCAGGGGCAGGCGCAGGAGGGCCAGGCTGTGCAGGGCAGATTCCCTGGGTCTGTGTGAAAACACCATGTACTACGGGTGCCTCCCCCTCATCATACTCTCTTATGCACAACCTCACTTCTGAGGTTTTCTAAAACTAATAACCACAGGAGGAAGGAATACTCACTGAGGGATTAGCCCATGCAGGACTCTTGGCACTGTTTTTTTATTCCATGGGGGGGGGAGGGGTATTGTGGTGATCTGAATGAAAGTGATTCCCATAGGCACAGGGCATTTAGGTGTGGCCTTATTGAAGGAAGTGTGTCACTGGGGGGGGGGGGGGGGGGCAGGCTTTAAGGTTGTAGCCCCAGTGGCTCACTCTCTTCCTGCTGCCTGCGGATCCAGATGTAGAACTCTTGGCTCCTTCTCCAGCATCCTGTCGGCCCGCAAGCTACCATGCTTCCCACCCTGAAGATAATAGACTAAGTCTCTGAACCTGTAAGCCAGCCCCCAATGAAATGTTTTTCTTTATAAGAGTAGCTGTGGTCATGGCGTCTCTTCACAGCCACAGAAACCTTAGCTAAGGAGTGACCTCACATGAGTGCTGGGAAAGCATCCTTGATGTATCATAAACTCTTAGCTATGCCTGGAGCCGAGTAAGGGCTCAGGCATTAGCTGAGGTGTCGTCTTCAGAAGCAGCCACTCCAACAGCGTCCTTCCCCACTTGAGTGAGGGCAGAAATGTAAAAAGACACGGGAGGGCTTTGCTTGGAATTTCAGAGATCAGGGATTGGCTTCCCATTACGTTAGAGGGACCAATGGTGTGGATTGGCTCCCCATCATATTAGAGGGACCAGTGGTGTGGATTGGCTCCCCATCATATTAGAGGGACCAGTGGTGTGGATTGGCTCCCCATCACGTTAGAGGGACCAGTGGTGTGGATTGGCTCCCCATCACGTTAGAGGGACCAGTGGTGTGGATTGGCTCCCCATCACGTTAGAGGGACCAGTGGTGTGGATTGGCTCCCCATCACGTTAGAGGGACCAGTGGTGTGAATTGGCTTCCCATCACATTAGAGGGACCAGTGGTGTGGATTGACTCCCCATCACATTTGAGGGACCAGTGGTGTGAATTTGCTCTGTGTTCAAAGAAGAAGAAGACATTTGTCAAGTAAACACACTCTGAAGTCTTTATTCTTGACCCCAGAGCCCAGGCTCTCAGAACCCTCAGCTGACTGCCATCCCCGAGATCCAATGTGTTGCTTGGATCTCAGTTACAGTCAGAAATCCACATTCATTAAAACACTGGGGATTTGGAGATGGAAGGAACAGGGGCCCAGAGTGCTGATCTGCCCTAAGAACTTGTTCAAAGCTAGAAAGGGTTTGACATGGGTGTGGTCGCCCTTAGGGCATCAGGCAAACAGGCAGGGAGCTTGACCAGGACCCTATCTGCACTGAGGATCAAATCCCACTTTTTCCCAAACACTGGCTTCTGACTTCACCTTCTTGTGGTCCCTCCTTTCACAGCTGGAAGCAGCTGGGAAGAAAAGGATCCCAGTTCTCTCTTCAACTGCTGTCTGTGCACGCCAAGTATGAGGTCACCAAAGATGGTCCCCAGAGCAAGTGATGGAGGAAGAGTCGTGGCAGGCTACTTCCAGTGTGAGCAGCTAGTTTTGTCAACAGACATAGACTCAGGCCCAGTTGGGCCACCAAAGTACACCAATCCTACACTCCCACTTGGTTACTGAGATTCAAAACCAATTCCATGAGCTATGGCTCAGGAATTTCCCCCCGCCTTTTTTGGCCTGGGTTCTCACTTGGGTCTTAGAGTCAGCCCAAAAGTTACTTCCAGGTTTCCAGAGAGTCCATAACCCCATCCTTCCAACCTTGGCATTGTTCCTCATACTCTCCCCCACCTCCCCAAGTCATATTATGGTCCACTCCTTGATGCAAAGAAGTCACATTCTGCTAAATTCCAGAGTGACCGCACAATACTGTTCTATTCCCAGGAGAGGCTAGGTGAACACGGGGTTGGCCAGCAGAGCTGGGCAAGGAGACATCCCTGCTCTTGTTGAGTTCTAAGGATACAGTGTGCATGCGACAGTGACTGGTGTCTTGGGACAGACAGAGAGAGGGAAGGGTGACAGTGCCACTTGGGTCATGGACAGCAAGATACAACCTCCAGGCTGGAGTGCTTGGAGAATGGACTCGTTGGAACTTCCCTGAGACATCAGGTGGCTTTCACAGTAAGACGGTCAGCTGGGGTCTTGCTTCTATCTCCAGGAAACATCAGGCTACCTGGCACCTGCCGTGCACCTTGGGATGCTGGGGCACACAGGTTGCTCTGCAGACCTTCACGAATTTCATTCTTGGGCTAAGTCCAGCTCAACAGGTCAATTGGTGTGAAGGATTTTTTGACAACCAGTATCTGAGGGCAGTTCTTGAGCTGGGCTACATTCAGCAGGTCAGATTCTCTCTTCTTCCCCAACAACACAGAGATGGTGCCGAGGGAACCAGAGGGAAGAGTCTCTGGGGACTTGCTGGCTCCAACAGAAAGTAGTGAATTTAGTCGCCGGGGCTGTATCTCTAGGAAGTCTTGCTACCCCTACCTTAGTGGGTAGGGGTTTTTTTCCTTCTAGAAACAGCAGTGAGGTATAAAAGAATATCTCAAAAATAGATAGCCCTTGGCAACAGATGTGCTGAAAGTAACCTGGTGGTTTTGAACTTGAGAGGTCAGTCTGGACCATCGGGCACCTCCTCTTACTCAGGTATTTCCAGGCTTTAAGAGTGGATCATAAATACTTTGGGCTTCTGTTGCGGTGATGGTGTGCTGGCAAGTTCTATGTTGTCTACAAGGACATTCTTATCTTCTAGTTTAATGACCGTGGGCTCTGGGGCGGGGGTGGGAGTTGTGCTTTTGTGCGTGTGCGGCAAGCTGATTTGGTTGATGTCCAAATCCTTGAAAGCATGGAGCATAAAAACACCCAAGATGATGGTGACAAAGCCAGACAGGGTACCCACAATGTCCACAGCAGACATGGTAAACCACTCCTTGAAGAGGACAATGGAGGAGGCCACTACCACCGTGGTGAAGAAAACATAGTAGATAGGGAAGACCAGGGAGGTGTTAAAAATATCCAGTGCCCGGTTGAGGAAGTTGACCTGAATGATGATGGACAGCCCCAGGATGAGGGACAGGATGTAGGGCAGGGGATGCCGCACCACAGGTAAGCCCTGGAAGAAGTTCCTAATGGTGACGCCCAGACCCTTGACTGCAGTCACGGAGAAGGATCCGATCACAGAGCAGATGATAATGTAGATGAGGATATTCCTTTGCCCATAACGCGGCGCGACAATGAAGATAAGGATAAGGCAGGACACCACCAGAAGGACGGCAAATATGATGAACCCTTCAGGAATGAGGGACAGGAATCATTCAGTGAGGGACGCAGACAGTATCTAGGGACCTGGACTCACAGTCTGACACATGTGGGTTCTAATCTCAGCTTCAGACCTTTGAATAACTCATGCAAGTTATTAAACTCTAAGACCTTAATTTAAGGCAGAAACTGAAGCAGAAGTCTTTGTAAAAAGGGATCAAAGGGGGGATTTTTTTTTCCTTGTAGAGCTGCTTTATAAAATAATGCACATTCCTGCATAAGATGTTTCTATAATAAAAAACACGTGTATTTAGAGACGTGCTTGCATATAATGAACAATATAAATGGTACATGTTTACAACGCTCCAGGAAGCCTTGCTAATGGTACTGCCCAACTTCCTTTCTGTTGCTCACCTCTTCCTCACGGGGGCAGTACTGAGATGGACAAAGCCCAATTAGATGTTCTATATATAATTCATCCCCCGCCCCCCGCCGTGTTTTCTGCCAACCCAGTGCTTGGAACCCACCTGTGTCTTTCATCTTGGAAGCCATCTCCACAACAGTCGAGACCTTCTCCTCCTTGGGGGCATGTATGACCATCACTGTGCTGCCAGCCATGCAGATCACACAGCCCAGCTTCCCCAGTAGATTCAGGCTCTCCCCCAGGCAATAGGAGGAGAAGATGGCACTGTACAGGGGTATGGGAGAAAGGGATTGAGTGAGGATACCTGTTGCAGCCCCACAAAAGACACAAGGGGGCGAGTAAAGACTTAGGGGAGACAACAGTCCAAAATTCACTCCTCTCTGTGGAGACCTTCCTAGAGTCCTTCCTTCTAACCCCGAAATTTCCAAAGCAGAAACTTATTTCTTGGGGGTTGGAATGTGTGCAGGAAGAGCAGAAACAGACACAGATCTCTTTGGTTTTTGAAATGGAAACCATTCACAAACCAAAGGTTTGTGTCCTGGTTGGCTTATTGTCAACTTGACATAATCTAGAGTCATCCGAGAAGAGGCAACCTCAGCTGATCCAATGCCCCCATCAGACTGACCTGTTGACAAGCCTGTGGGGCATCTTCTAGATTGATGGTGGATGTGGATCAGCACAGACCCCTGGGGGATATACCATTCCTGGGCAGGTGGCCTGGGGTGTGTAAGAAAGCAAACTGAGCAAGCCTGGAGGAGCAAGCTCCAGTTTCTGCTTCAGTTTCTGCCTCTGAGTTCCTGTCTTGAGGTCCTGCCTTGTCCTTCCCCCATGAGGGGCAGTAATTTGTAAGCCCAATAAACTCTTTCCTCCCCAGTTTGCTTTTGGTCATGGTGTCTCATCACAGCAATAGAAAGCAAACTAAGACAGGTTAAAAGAGGTTTTCAAACTACTCTTGTCTGACTCCCTACCAACTGAACGTATTGTGATGGAGGAAGGTCATTGGTTAATAAAGAAACTGCCTTGGCCCATTTGATAGGCCAGCCCTTAGGTGGGTGGAGTAGACAGAAGAGAATGCTGGGAGGAAGAGGGAAGTGAGGTAACCACTATGCCTCTACTCTCTGGCTCAGATGCGATGAAGCTCCAGCCCAAGATGGACGTACACTAGAATCTTCCCGGTAAGATACCACTTCGTGGTGTTACACAGATTATTAAAAATGGGTTAATCAAGATATTAGAGTTAGCTAGTAAGAGGCTAGAGCTAATGGGCCAGGCAGTGTTTAAATGAATATAATTTGTGTGTTGTTATTTCGGGTGTAAAGCTAACCATGCAGGAGCCAGGCCGCAGCCCACAGCTCCTTCTACAGTATTGTCCCATAACATTGCTAGGAGATGTTTTGCAACCATGGCTCATATGTGTCTGATAGCCGGGAACAAGCCAAGTGAGCACATTGCAAGTTCATACTATGTATTCACTCCAAACGCATTTTCTGATACTTTCTATTCCTTGTCCCATTTCTGTTCCTTAGGTCATAGAGAATAAATCCATTTCTCTTCCATTTACATATGCCAATATAAACCACCACAATGATAATTATGGACACCATGTCTTGGGGCGTGCATTTCCTAACATGTCCCGTGTCAGAGTTAATCTGACAAATCTGTGAATTAACAGATAACTGCTCCCAATTTACAGATGAAAAAGCTGAGCTCGTAGAAGCTGAAATGACTCAGCAAAGTCCTTTAACTGTTAAGTGGCAAAAGCAGGTTTTGAACGGACTTTGATCTTACTGCAAAGCCGACAGGTTTTCCTCTACATTAGAGAGAACCTCTATGCTTTCCGGAGTCTTTACTGAGCAAGATCCTTCCAGATCCTTGATGATATGATTTCTGTTCTTTTCTGATCCTCTAGATGAGGGAAGGAAAAGGGGGACTGGGCAGGCTAGAAATGAATCGTGAGCTCACTTGCTTTATGAAGGTGGCATTAGTTCACATTAAAAGTGTTTTGTGAATGATGCCCTGGGACCTAGGTAGCATCTAAAAGTCTTGGCCTGTAGGCAAGCTTGTGGGTCATTTTCTTGATTGATGACTGCTGAGGAATGACTCAGCTCACGGTGGGTAGTGCCACACCTGGGCAGGTGATCCTGGGGCAGATAAGAAAGCAAACTGAGCAAGCTGGGAGCTGCAAGACTCAACTATTTTACCTACAGTGTTCTTTTTGAGAGATTCTGATGGCATTTACACAGGCAGGGCCGGACAGTGGCGAATCCCGTGCCTCTCAGAACATCCCAAGAGTGGGAATTTGTAAACATATCAGATTTGGGGAGCTCTTCTACTCAGCTGTAACAGCAGCCAGGCCAGTTGTGTGCTGAGAGTCAGGAATCTAATTGTCTTATAGCTGTAAACATTGCAAAACTGTCATCAGGTGGAAAAACAGAAGAGATGATAGGTTCTAGGTGTGTTTGGCTGGGATTTGTCAGGGCTCCAGAGGTAGCCCCTAAATGAGAGCATTCCTCAGATGTACCTAGTTCATAGCTTCGGGGGAATGGGAGCAATAAAAGGTGCGAACGCCTAGTATCAATTATTTTATTGTATTCTGGGTTTGGTTGTTCGAGGAAGTTAGAAGTCAAACCCAAGCATACCAGGTAGGTGGTCTACTCCCAGCTACAGCACCAGCTCTAAGATCCTTAATTTTAAAAATCATTGTTTGCAAAGTCTTTACCAAGAGAGGCAACAGTGCACAGCATGGCTGTTAACTCCTGGGTCCTGGGATTATACTGCATAGGATGGCTCCTGGCCTGACTACAGGGTCTTCATGCCGACATATACAAGTAGAAGGAGGGGGGTTGTCTACCGCCCAAGGAACAGAAATAGGTCAAGAAGTAGAAACTGCTGGAAAGTTAACTTGGCCAAAGTGCTTAACCTCTCTGGGTCTTGGGAACACATATAAGGATGAAGAGAGTTAGTACACAGACTACATCCAGATGCCTTTATGCATAGTTGCCCTCTGTCTATTGTAGCCATGGTTGCTTGGAGCTAGTTTGCTCTACATCCATTCTTTGTGTTGTCTCTTCTATTGCTCCGAGTGTGTATCATTAGTATTCTATTTTGCATATGGGCACAATGAGGCTTGGCTAAGAGACTTGCCTGTGAACCTATCACTACAAAGGTTTGCGTATGGATTACTATTGGGTAGTGTTGTGGCTCAGTTGGTAACGTGCCTGTCCTGCAAGCATGAGGGACTGAGTTCAAATCCTCTGCACCCACTTAAACGCCATGTGCGGTGATATGTGCCTATAATCCTGGTCCTAGGGAGTCCAGAGACTGAAGGATTCCTGAGCTTATTGGGCAGCCAGCCTAACCAACTGGAAGCTTTAGTAAGTGAGAAACATTGATTAAAAGAATGTAGGAACTAATTAAGAAAGACAATGAACTCTAATCTCTGTCCCCCGCAGACAGCTCACACACACGTGCACACAAATGCAAATGCATCCATATACACAACTGTACACGCTCACATATACATGTAAGACATACACACTAGAAACAAACGCACACCGAGGCTCGTGTTATTAATTCATCGAGAGGAACTGAGACCCGTGGCAGCCAGCAGTCCAAGAGCCAGAAGCTCTCAAGAGCATACTCCCTTTTCTCAGGACTGATGGACTGTTTTGGGGGTTCTGGGTAGCTGCTCCCACTTTGGTAAATCTAGGTCTCAACAAAACAAAAACAGGAAAGGACCAGAGGTGGCAGAAGAGGGGACAGTGACCTGATGAGGACGCTCAGTGCTCCCAGCGGCGTGACAACTGTAGCCGGTGCAAACGCGTAGGCGCCAAAGTTGGCAACTTCTCCAGCAGACACTAGGGAATTAGAGGAGAAAAGAGGCCAGTGTGACTCCAAGGCACCACGTCCGTTCCAGAAGAATCTGGGCAGAGATGGTTTCTGTCAGTGTTCAACTGTACCTAAAACCCAAGACCAGTACTCCTTAAGATCCATCCGTGTGCTGTCTCCCTGGAGATAAGGTCAGACCCAGACTCTTAAGTAAAGGTGGCAAGGCCAAAATCCTGAACTCAGTCGGGGAGAGCTATGTGGATCCTGCAAACTATTGGCCAGCCAGCCTAGCAGAAATGGTGAACCGCACTTCAGGTTTGTAAAAGACCCTGTTTCAAAAGCTAAAGTAGAAAACATAAGAGGAAGATGCCTAACATCTTTCTTACACACAACTGATGATGATGATAGCAATAATAATAATATTTTTAAAAATTAAGCTTTGATAACCAGAAGGGTAGATGAACAGCGGGAGCAATGTATGAGCGTACAAATCTGGACAAGGCAGCAAAACAGTCATATTGCCATGGGACAGTGGAGTTGCCTAAGGTTCCCAGAGTCTACCAGATAGAGGCCAAGACTGTGACTAAGGGGCAGTGCTACCAGAGCCCTGTAATTATTTGGCAGATGAGAGAACACACTTGTATTTATTTAAAAAAAAAAAGAATTTGAAACAGGGTTTCCGATATCCCAGCCTGGCCTTGAACTTGCTGTGTAACTGAGGTTGACCTTGAACTTCTGCTCCTCCTGCTTCCACCTCCGGAGTGCTGTGATTATAGGCGCACTCTACCATCCCTGTTCTATGCGGTGCTTGGGATTGAACCCAGGGCTTTGTGCATGCTAGGCAAGTGCTCTCCCAACTGAGCTACATCCCAGGCCTGTGCACACGCATCGTTATCGTATTATCGTCATAGAAGAGGCCTTCCATTGGGCTGAGAAAATGGCATCTCAGTATAAGCTGTCTACAGGGACAAGTTTCTCCCAGGCAAGTTGGCCTTGGGCTATCAGGGTTTATAATAGAGACAGGACTGTTCTATCTGCCCTTCCCTTCATCTCCATCCCACCCATCAGTAGGTCACTGTTCTTAGTAGTAAAAGAAGTCGCTTACTGGTAGCAAATCCAGCCCACCACATCGGGTCCTTCAGGTAGCCATAACCACCATTCACTGCAGAAGGAAATAGACACAAGGTTAGAAGTTAGTGCTACTTTGTGGGGATCTGCCATTGTCACCTGAACTATGCCCCAGGACTTGCTTCTTAGTTGTCCTGTTTTGTATCTGTGGCTTGGACTTGTCTTCTGAGTTCAGCTGTGCCTCTAAACTGTTCACTTGGCATCTTTTCCATCTTTTCCATGTGCCCCAATCTCTGCCCTAAACATGACTCTTGACTTCCACCACAGCCCTGCAACTTGTTATATGAAACTCGGGAAATGACACTTCTAGAAATCAGGGGGCCTCTGCATGTAGTCTGGATGACTGATTCTGTCACCAAAAAGTGCTGGGTATGTATCCACAGCACTGCCAGCATCCTAATCCGCCATGTCTGGCAAGGAGGATGCAACCGCTTTGTTACGGAGTTACTGTGACTTCACACTTATTCCCATAGCAAGTTGTTTCTTTCCTGGCAGCCAGTGGTTTTGGAAAATGCAAATCAGGTTATACCCCTTTTCTATGCATAGCTACCCAGTGTCTTCCACTTATTCCATAAATATAGTCCCGCTCCTTATGGGCAGGGTTGGTCCTGCTCGCCTCTGCAAACACCCCTGCCATAGTCTTCATATTCCTCAAGAACGATAAACTCTTTCTTGTACCAATTTTCTCCCTGAGTGCAGAATGCTCTCCTCTAGTGTTTGCCTGAATCCACACCCACACTGTCGGTCTCTACTGCTTCCCTTAGGTGCCCAGTCTGGCCTCCAGTTCCTGTAATTTCCCCTTGAGATGGCCAACCCTCTTCATGGTTCTTAGCACTTGTAATTACAGATGATCTGTTTATCTTCTGGCATTTTCCCTACCCTCAGTGGAAGCATTCTACCCTGGACTGTTGAACCCCTCTCCCTGTCTCCGTTTCCTATGAGGGGTCTCACTGTGTAGGTGATTTGACTATGTAACTGCAGCTGGCTTTGAACTCATGCTCCTTCTGTCTCCATCTGTGCTGGGATGGTATGCTGGTTTGTGTTTTGTCAACCTGACAGACTAAACTGGGAAGAGGGACCTTCAGGAGTGGAACTGCACCCATCAGATTGGCCTGTGGGCAAGGCTATGGAGGATTTGGTTGACTGGTGCTTGATGTGGGGGCCTAGCCCAATGTAGTGATACCATCCCTGGAAAGGTAGCCCCAGGTTGTATAAAAAGGCAGAAGACTGAGCCAGCCTGGTCTACAAAGCAAGTTCCAGGGCAGCCAGGACTGCTACACAGAGAAATATTGTCTCCAAAAACCAAAAACAACAACAAAAACCAACCAACCAAACAAGCAAAAGAGCAGACTGAGCTAACCATGAGGAACAGGCCAGTGAGTAATAACCTGTCTCCAAGCCTCTGCTTCTGTTCCTGCTTTCAGGTTCCTGCCTCAACTTCCCTTCACGATGCACTCTTTCCTTCCAAAGTGTCCTAGTGTTTTATCACAGAAATGAATGAAAACTAGAACAGATGGCGTACACCACCACACATGCCAAGTTTTACCATTCTTCGTCTGTTTTAAAAGTGAGGGAATTGGAGTAAATAAAAACGCATTTCTTGCCCAGAACCCCACTAACAACAGTTAAGCCACCAGAGTTGGAACTGTAATGGTCTGCTTCCAAAGAGCAGTGTCCCGTGGGAAAGTGATGAATAAGCAGAGAACAGGTCCAAACTTGAACAGGCCCTCATCCCAAAACCTGTTTCTCCCTCTGCATTCATTGCAGAACAGGGTACCATCCACTGGCTTCCTAGTTGCTCAAGTCAGAAACCTGAGTCATCCTCGACTTCCCTCTGCCCTCCCCTGGGAGCAGGGAGAATCATCAAAGCCAGTGAGTTCCGCCCCTCCCCCCCAAACTATCTCTGGAATCTGCCAAGTGTCTCCAGGCCCAGTGCCCTACTTCTGTCCTCTGGGTTCATTGGTTCCTCTCTGGGACTCTAATCCATTCTCTACCTAGCAACAGGGACCCTTTTCAGCCCATAAATGAGACTGTCACTCCCCTGCCTAAAACATCAGTCAATCCCTTAATCACACTCAATCTCTGCAGCCCACTTTCCATGACCCTTGTTGAGCTCATCCGCCCCTGCACTCTCTGGTCAACCTGAATTACCCTCAGTTCCACCTCTAGCTCAGTCTCTCCTCTGAGCCTTGGCACTCACTGCTCCTGCCACTGAGTCGTCTTCTCTCTCCATCTCCCTGCTACCTCCTTTTTATTCAGTTCTCTGTATAAGAAACAAGTTTTCCAGAAAACTTCCTTTCTGTACCTGTATCCGAACTTTACATACTCCAAAGTATTTCCTTAGCGACCTGTATAAACTATTCCCCTAGCAACCTGCATCTTCCCCACGAAGGCGCTTGGCACATCACAGGAGGACTTCACATTGCCTGACTCTCTTCCCCCACTTGACCGGAAATGCCACGGGGATGCTGGGTCCCAGGTTTCACATTGTCCCTGGTACACAGCAGGCACGCAATAAATGATGTGGGATGTCCTTTCCCGAGAACTGTCTCAGTGAATCGCATCCAGTCTTCCAAAGGAACGAGGCTCAGTGCCTGAACCACAGTTCGCTGCACGTGCAAGACTCTCCTGTGATGTGTGTGGGCTGAGGCATTTGTGGTCCCATTTCACAGGAGAAGTTGTGACTTCTTCTGAAGGCCAGGCTGGTAAGAATCCAAGCTGAGATGAAGCCTGGAGTGTCTGATTCTCCATCCTGAGGCTTTGCTGTGTCTATACCCTAATGTGTACGTCATGGAATTCTCAGGAAATACTGGACTGGAAAGGACGGCATCCAGTTATTGGCAGTGGGGATTCTCAGCAGGGTTGACAGCAAACCTCCAGGACCCACCTGAGGTCCCTGTGAAGGGAAGTCATTCATTCCAGGCGCAGCTGCCCCTTATCCATTCCCACCTGCCCCAGGAGCCTACCTGCCCTGGTGGCCCCCGTGGCCACAAGTCGGATGAGTCCTTTCTTCTTAAGGATGACGCTGCCACCGATGAGCAGGCAGGAGAGGAAGGCGAGGCCCACGCCGATGTAGAAGCCATACCTCTTCCTGACCCTCTCCTGCCAGGTGATTACGGTGGCATTGTTGGGTTCTTCAGGGCTGATGCCTCTGACGATCTGACAGAGGACCTCTTGGGAAGAGCAGTAGAGACTGACTATGGAACCTAGGGGGAAAAGCATGTTGAGAGTTAGATTGAGGACATGGGCACAGTTCAAAGATGCGAGAACATGGTTCAAATGCGCTGGGATTGATGCAGACATAGATGTCATGTTTCTATTGCTCCAGGGCTCCACCCACACAGCGGATCTCAACCAAAAAAGACTAGTCCCCAATCTCTGTGCTGTTAGCTGTCTTCCCGCTAAATAGTTCATTTGCACGGACTTATCAAATTGTAGGCCCTCCTGTCCTGTAGGCACTGTCTTTAATTCTCATTCCACAGACAAGGAAATGGAGCCTGTGAGGGTGCAGTATTTGTTCAAGGACACACAGGTCGTGAGGTTGGTTTTCACTGTCAGCTTGCTGGGAACTCGCAGCACCTGAGTAAAGAATCTCACCCGAGGACTTGTCTTGTTTGTCTTAATTGATGTGGGAAACCCTCCCCCGCTGGGAGCGGCATCTTCAGATGGAAAGAGGGTATAGCAGAAGGAAGGCTATTCTGCTTTTGCTTACTCCTCCTTCCCTCTTTCCTGGAGTTGATTTACTCTGTTTCTCCTGGAGCTGATTCCTTCCCTGACGGCAGAACCAGTGTCCTAGGACTCTGCCGTCCACTGAGAACCGGGAACCTCCAGGATTTTAGCAGCAGATCCGTACTGCGCAGTCGACCAGCCTCACGGACAGAGTAGCTAGCAGGTTCTTGGGCTCCCCAGGGTGACACAGCCAGTGTTGGACTACCCCGACTTCTGAGGCATGCAGCCTGAAGGACCCCGACTTCTGAGGCATGCGGCCTGAAGGACCCCGACTTCTGAGGCATGCGGCCTGAAGGACCCTGACTTCTGAGGCATGCGGCCTGAAGGACCCCGACTTCTGAGGCATGCGGCCTGAAGGACCAAGTAAGTAACTACACAGTTCTCAACCTCTCAGGAGCAACACAACTGTTGTTACTACTGCAACATAAGCTGATTTAACAAATTCTTTTAATATATATTCATTCTGTAAGAACTGTCCCTCTAGAAAGCCTTGACCAATGGTCTGGCTTCAGAATTCCAACCTGTGGGACTGATGTCTTCCACACCGGGTAGGACGCCACCTCAGCTCTCAGCCGTCACTACATCCATCCCAGTGTCCTCCACAGGGATCCCCTCTCAGCCTCTGGGCTATCGGCTCTCTAATAATTCATGAGCTCACTTGGGGCTTCTTCATTTTATTGCCAACTCTAGGTGGAGTGGGAATGCCACTGGGCAGGATAGCCCACCCAGGCCCGGGTCAGCCTGAAGGTAACTGAGGAGTGAGTGAGCTTCCTGTGGGAGGGAGCTCAGCATTCTAGGACTTATTTCTGAGATGTGTGGTGTTTGGGTCAGGGCCTTGGGACTCTTTCTGGGAGTAACCGGATTGGTTCTGCTGTCATCCCAGACATCTTGGTCTGGTCTGCAGTTTGACTCTTTCCTTGAGACCTGCTGCCAGCCCCCTGACTTGTTGGTCTCCTTGGCACAGACACCAAGGACAGTCTTGGGAACAAAGGGAAGACCCTTGGTGAAACACAAAGCCACACAAGTCCAGTGAAATGCAAGAAAGCATGACCAAGCCTCAACCAGTGCTACTGTGCACATGGCTCCTGTTCTAGAGTTTTCCTTAGGACTCCTAACAACCACTAAGTGAAACAGTCACAGTGACCATTTCCAGGTCCTTAGTAGAAGTCAAGTTCAGTGACCTTCTTAAAGGGATACCTGTTATAAAAATGTGTCTAGGGTCATACCACCATGAACATACCCGATCTCATCCAATATAGAGAGGTGAAGCCAAAAGTAGACCCCATGCCCATCTGATGGCTGAGTCTCTGCTCAGAATCACTACACACTCTCTGATAAACAGCTTGCCCCATGGGGCAGGGATATGTGGGATCCATCTTCACTTCGTCCCGGGTTGACATGTAAACCTGTCGCAAACAGTCAAAAATGGGGAGCTTTCCTAGGAACATTCAGACTTGGGGTTGCACTTGAAGCTTAGGAAGTCAGTTTGTCTATCTGGTCATGCCAGCCCTGGAGACAACAGCTGAATCACTCTTAGACATGCCTACGAAACTCCTCAGTTTACCCTGCTCCCACAATTCATGTTTGGTATTGCCCTTTCCAGGTGTTTCAGCTTCTGATCTCCCTAGCGTGTGTGGCAAAGGCCTAGACCCTAGTGCCAAGGACCTAAGCCCAGATCATACCTCTCTCAGACCAAGCTGGAGTTCCTACTCTGTGTCTAGATGGATCCCAAATCCAAGGCCAGGGAGACTGAAATTTGGCATGCCTGCATCAGAATAGCATCTGGGTGGAGCAGAGTAAGGACAAAGTTGCCCTTTCTGACGTGGCCCAGACCTTGGAGAAGAGGTAGAAGGGCCTTTAGGAAACTCAGCTGGTCTCGGATGTAGCTCAGTAGTAGATGTATCTCAAAAGTAGAGGATGTGCCAGGGATAAGAAAGGCTGCAGGTTCTGCCCCGGGTACCAGATGGGGGACAAGGAGGCATTCATTAAAAAATAGTGAGGGGGAGGAAGGACAGCCTAAAGTGGAGGGTAGCAAATATGAGCAAGGCACAATTGTCACAATTACATATGTGCATTAAATTGTCTTAGCAAAACCCACTATTTTGTATGCTAAGTAGAAAAAGCATTAAAATGGAAAACAACAACAAAGCCCCCAACAGATGATCTAATCCTCTTATATTCTTGGGGGAAACTGAGGTCCCATGAAGATTTGCTGGAGTTGGGACTGAAATCCACCAGGGGGTATCTGTGTGTCTTGTGCTATGAGACCTCTGCCTTTCCACCATGGGACAATGAGACAAGAAGTTGTCATCTCGGGGCCTAACCAGACTGGTTTTGCATGCTCTCTCCTGTTCCACCAGCTCGGGGCATCCTTGCCCAAGAGCCTCATCTGGGGAGTTCCTTGAGTCCAGGAAATGCAGGCAGTAAGCCAGAGTCTGCTCCTCACCTTTCCCCTGCTTCTTCAAGTCTCACTGCTAGTGGGTGGAGGCAGGGGGCTCATTTCAGCACCCCAGCCCCAGTTCAGCACCTCTGATGAAGTCAAATTCTCCCAGTACCCCCACCCCAGCTCAGCACCTTTGATGAAGTCAAATTCTCCCAGCACAGTAAAGAGATAAAGAGAGAGCTGATGACCAAAGGGAACCCAATTCAGAGTGGGTACATATCTGAAAAAGGGGGTACCAAGCTTATAATCTATTTTTTACTCTAGAATGTTCTAGAACTAGGAATGCCCTCTGCCTTGGGTTAAGGGGTGAAGCTGAAAAGGAGACTAAGGTCAGTCAACACCAGGAGCTGGCTTCGCTGAAGAAGGGCAGAAATTAGCCGGGCGATGGTGGCACACGCCTTTAATCCCAGGACTCGGGAGGCAGAGGCAGGTGGATCTCTGTGAGTTCGAGGCCAGCCTGGTCTACAAGAGCTAGTTCAAGGACAGGAACCAAAAAGCTACGGAGAAACCCTGTCTCGAAAAATCCAAAAAAAAAAAAAAAAAGGGGGGCAGAAATTAGGGACCTCAGAACACCGCACAGGCTGCACTTCCAAGGCAGGAGGCACATGGAGAATGTTCCAGATGGAACAGAGGATGGCAGCAGCATGGGTTCACATTCCCCACTGTATTACCTGGAGCAAACTATTAGCCCTGCCAGAGCCTCTGTTTCTGTATCTCTAGAATGGGCACAGTGATGCTTCAACAAAATGCCTGGGGATGAAGGCTAGTGTTAGCATCCCTTCCCAGCTTCTACAAGGCCCTGGATTCAATTTCCAACATTGCAAAACAGAAAAGAGAAAGAGAGAAAAAAATCCAAAGGAAAAGAACAGAAAAACAAACAACAACAATAAAAAAGTTTTAAAAACTTAGGCTTAGGGCTGGGAAGATGGTTCCTTGGGTAAAGTCCTTTGATCCTGAGCCCTGGAACTTCCATAAAGGCAAGAGGAGATAATTCACTGCACAAAGCCGTCCTCTGCCCTCCATATCCTCAGTATAGATAGCACTTGTGCACATAAGTACACACCATGCATCACACACACGCATGCATGCACGCACACACATGCGTCTGCCCATGCGTGCTCAGACACACACAGGCATGCTCATATACATGCACACTAGTAATAAATTTTAAAACAAAATCTAGGCCCAGTGGCATATACTTGTACTCCCCGGTCGAGGTGTACTGAAACAGGAGGATCATACATTTGAAGCTATACTGGACAATTTAGCAAGACTTTGTCTAAATACAACTACAACAACAACAACAAAAACCCAGTTGCCTGCTTATTAGAGTTTGCTTCTGTGATTAAATGGGATAGTTCAGGGAAGGGCCATGGTCTACATAGTTAAGAACACACTAGAAAATCAAGGTTCTTTCCTGATCATTTCTCTCCCTTTCCAAAAAGTTTTGTGTAGATTTATAGATCGGGAACCTCTCTGTCCCTCTACTCTCTGCTTTGGGTGATGGAAAGATATGTGGGCAGGTACCTGCAGGACCCAACACTACCCCTGAGTCCTCTACCCCAGCCTTTTCACAGGACCACCTGCCCCATGCGCTCTGTTTTCCTCCTCTCAGCTGGCCTCAGCATCCCCGCGGCTGCCACTGGGGAGGCGACATCTCCGCCAGACCGGATCTTCAGGACAGTTTGGGAACCGGGTGAGAATCTGACGCTGACTACCACCACCCCAGTTTGCGGCCCCAGCAAGTGAGAAGTTGACGAGTTTGGTGGGAGCAAGGTGAGAAGCGCAGCGCCCTCCCAGGTCCCCTTACAGTCTCACGCACCCACCGTTCTCGCAGCTGCCGTTGGCGTTGGCGACCCGCAACTCCATGGAGACCTGGGCTGACGATGCCCGAGGTCCGCGGCTCCTAAACAGGTGGCCGCGTCTTGTCCCAGCGAGGCTCAGGCGCTCAGGCGCGGGAAGCCGCTGGGGTCCGGACCCAGGGGAGGGGAGAGTGACGCGACCCAGAGGGGAGGGTCCCCGGGGAGGAGTCACCCTGCGCCTTGGGCAACACCGAGTGCTGGGGAATCAACACTGGGGTAGGGGCTCGTGCCCTTCCAGGGTGCGACCGCAGCTGGGTGCCAGACACCGAGTCACTGGCCCGTGCCAGGGGCAGGAGAGAGGGGGCGGGTCCGCCGGGCCCGCCTTTCCGGGACAGCAGCATCCACATCTAGCTTCCTCAATGGCAGAGTTGATGTGCTCCGGGATGGTACAGAGGTCACTTTGGGCGGTGGAAGTTTTAAGGAAAGGTCTGAGAACCTAGTTCTCCCCCCTCCCCCCCATTTCCTTTACCCTCCTCTCCTGTCTTTGCTATCGCAGAACTTACAGATCTGATCGTGCAGGGCACTGTGGCTGACGGGAGCAGAGTAGGTGCCCTTAAATGTTCAATACATATTTGTGTCCCGTGAACGGACGGCCAGGGATTGGCAGGCTGAAAGGAGGGAGGAAATGAAGTGATTGGCCGTCCAGATGAATCAGGCTATTCTTTTCTTATACAGTTCTGGGAGAAACTAGTTAAGACCAATCATTTAGAAGCAGATGTTTTCCAAAATCACCAAATATAAATTTTATATGTAAGCAATCAAATTTCATAAATATGCATGCTTACATAATAAAAGTTGTGATTAAATGAATATATGTAAGAGTAATGGAGTATATGGAGATATATGTAAGAGTGATGGAATATATGGATATATACATGAAATTATGATGGAATGTATATTTGTGTACTAATACACATATATATGGGATGGATGAGTATATTAACTTGTATGGTACTCATTTCATAATATATATATTCATATAAAATCATCACATTTGTATGCCTTAAATACATGCAGCTTTCTTACACTTATTTATTTGTGTGTGTGTGTGTGTGTGAGTGTGTGTATGCGTGTGCATGCCCTGGCATTCATGGGAAAATCAGAGAACAGACAACTCTTGAGGATCTTTCTCTTTTTCTACCATGTCCCTAGGGATCCAACCCATGATCTCAGGTTTGTGCTTTTACCAACCGAGCCATCTCACCAGCCCTGAAGTTTTCATTTGTCAAAAATACCGCAACACAACTGCAGTAATGATGATGATGACGGTGATGATTATAAAGATAAAATCATAAAAGATAATGGCTCTGTGGGTGACAGCACAACTGAGTCAGGAAGGGAGGCAGGCTGCCTTTCTAGCCCTTGTGAAGAGTGAGACAAGGACGGAGCCTACTAGGCTCCCCAGCCTGGTCCTTATAGGCACCCCTACCCTGCTGATCTTGGTGGTTTCTCCGAGCACATGGCCTCCTCTAATGTTTTGGGTTAGTCGGTTGCTTTCTGGAAGGATCAGTCCCCTTCTGCTCTAGTAACTCAGCTGCACGTTCGTCCTTTCTCTGTAGATGAATTGCCCTGGGGAGATGGTTGGGATGAACAGGCAGAAGTTGGAGGAGGAAGGGCGGTCTCAAGCATTGCAGAAAGAACTGCACACGGAAGGTTCTGTATGCTGCCTCCCACTGAGTGTGTGTGAGGCCAGAGTCCGAAGAGGGTCCAGCATCTTTCAGACAAATGTGAGTCAGATCACTAAGCAAGAAACCAGAATGACTGGCCCAGGTGGGAAACTATCCATTGATCGGATCCTGCTGGCCGAGCAGGAGGAGTTGATAGGAGAATGAATGTCTCTCTTCTTGTACTTCAGCATTTCTGCAGTACGGGTGGGCTAGACTGGAACGCTGGCCATGGCACAGCCCCAAAGCCTCCTCATGTTCAAACTCCATCACTTGTGTTTTAAGGACAGAGGCAAGCATACACAAATGGTTTTCCCCGGCTAGATTTTTCAATTTCTTCCAGTTGTGTTGAGATATTATTGACAAACAACTTCATGTGAGTGTACATGTGTATGAGCGTGCATGTGTGTATACATTCGTGTGTGGGTGCTCTCACTCAGGAGGACAGGGGTCAACCTTGGGGGTCCTCTTCAATCAGCCCCCACCCTCCCTTCTGGTTTTTAGCCAGAGTCTCTCCCTGACTGGGAGCTTGCTGTTCCTGTGGAACTGACTAGCTGGCAGACTCCCAGGAATCTTCCCATTTCTGCTCGTCCCTCCTCCCACCAGTGCTGGGGTTACAGACAAGCAATGCCACACATGGCATTTGCATGCGGGTGCCGTGGCTACACACTCAAGTGCTCACGCTTGAATAGAAAACAATTTACCCACCCAGACTGCTCCCTAGCCACAAATGACATGTATGTCAGGAATGCGCTGTGATGGTTTGACATATGCATACATTGTGAAAGATTACCACAACACCAAACTAATGAATATGGCCACTCTGCACTGGGGCGTGTGTGTGTGTGTGTGTGTGTGTATGTGTGTTGGGGAAATGTTTATGTTAAGAGCACAAGATCCGGCCACTTTTCTTAGTCGTCCCAAAAGAGTATTTAAATTATTCTTGCCATAGTTGTATCCAGATATGAAGAAAGAGAGATATACATATTCTTTAATACATATAATACAATATATATACAAATATATGGATTTGTCATCTGAGGAGCCCCTGTGTTGAGGGGCCTGGCTAGATGTCCTTTTGCCTGAGGTGGAGGACAGTACTGAGTCTGTCCTGTGCTGGAACAAGGATTCCCAGTAACAGGTGAGGTTTGTATTTTAAGTTCCACTTTAAGGTAGAGAGGACTAAGACCTTCAGCAGGGTCTTCCATACCCTCTCAGGGCCTCAGGCTTCCCATCTGCTCCAGGAGGGGGCAGGGCCTCTCAAGGCTGGCATCAGGGCATCTTATCAGGGCACACATAAAGGGCCCTATTGAACTGCGGGCTCCTCGGCTGCCATCCTGACAAAGCCCTTTTCTGCTCGAGCCACAATGGCTCTGTCAGGCAGGTAGCAGGGCCTGCAGCATTGTCTTCCCCGTCAAGAACAACAAGGCTCACTGTTTGACCCAGGCTTGGTCTCCCTGGGGCGGGTGGGTGCTTTGAAAGGGTCTAACCAGCTAAAGACAGATGGGCTCTGTTCTTAGGCAGCCATGGTGGACCAGCCATAAATCTTTTGGTCAGCTATTTAAGGATGAGCACAAAACTAATTTGTTAAGACTACATATCTTCTAAATCCTTGACTTTTTAAAGCCCGTGTCCCAGTATCGATACTAAAGATGTGCACAAATGGATATGGCAGCCACTGGTCACGTGTACCTAATGAGCCCTTGACAAGCAGCCAATCTAAACAGAGATTTGTTGCAAGCATCAACCAGCTTCTGGCCAGCTTTTGGACCAGACCATCCTCTGATGTAGTGGTCTTTCCCATGCATTGTAAGTTGTTTAGCAAGGTCTGGCCTCTACTGTCAGGTAACCAAGCTCACCCCCATGTCTCTACCTCCTGCCCTGGGTTTTGATAACCCCGAACATCCCCAGATAAACTGCCAAAAATCACCTTGTAATTAAGAACCACCAAGATTTCAAGGAGAAAATGAAATGATAACATGGAGGGATAGATGGAAATGAGAGAAATGAGTATTCAATTCATTTTCCTCTTGCCCTATTTCTTTGGATGTTTTGTAAAAAGAAAATGAGGCCTACAACTGTTTAAAGTTGCTTTGGTGGTTTACATTGGGTTTCCGTTGAACGGGGCTGTTACAGATGAGAAAACTCTGGGCCATAGACTGAAGTGTCCGGTGGAAGAGCAGGGAGAGGTAAAGCCAGGGAGGAAGCCAGCTTTCCAGATTGGTACCCCAGACCACCTCTACTACTCTACAGATGTTGCCGTGAAAGGACATCTCCAAGCGTCCTTTGTTGGGGTGTTCCCAGTGTCATGTGGTCAAATAACACCCCAGGAGGAATAGAGACAAGGGTGCAATCGATGCTCATTGTAGGCTTGCTCTGAGCCATGTGTGTGCTCCTTCCGTCTTTGCAGTGACCTGGGGAAGAGGGTTCTGGGGTTCACTCCATTTTCCAGCTAAGGAAATGGAAGTCCGTCTTGGATACATCCCTGAAGTGTAGTCTTCAGTCCAATGCATAGTACCCTACAGCGCTAGGTTCCATAGCACTACATGAGATATGGGAGGGTCCCTTCTTCTCACCTTCTATCTTGGGTAAGAAATAATCTTCAGTCTTCCCCAGTTCTGCAAAACCGGTTTTTGGGGCCAGGGCTGCCACCTCCTTCAGGCCGAGTGGGAACAATGGGAATGCAGACTATTGGTATGCAGAGGCAGGCCTACAATTTTCCAGGTGTGTCTATGCATGGCTGCTGCTTTCATAAAGAACCTTATTGTCACTGGAAATACTGCCTGGAATGGACTCGTGTGTGTGTGTGTGTGTGTGTGTGTGTGTGTGTGTGTGTGGTCCAGCTATAAGAAGGGCTATGTCTAACAATGGGGTCTGCATGCAATGCACCTAGCAACCAATAGTGATTGACGGACAATACTGTTACTGAACCCTTTGTCTGTGGACTAAGCCCTTGACTGACACTAGCTCATGTGGCTATGACAAGCTGAGTACCCTTCGATGCTCCATTTAGAAGGAACCGAGGTGCAGAGAGGTGGAATGACCCAGGTTACACAGTGATGGATACGGCTGGGATATTTTTCTCTCTTCCAGTAGTTCTCTCAATTAAGGCATTGGTTTGATGAGGCTAGCCCCTTCCTGGTCCTTTACTCTGGATGGCTGGGGAGGTAGGATCCACACAGAAACTCTAGTAGGAGAGCCTATGTCTTCTCATCTAACCTTATTTAGGCGCCTGAAAGGGCTCACCAAATTCCACCTCCTCAGTTTTGCAAATAGAGAAACTGAGGCAGAGAGTAATGCAAGGTCATGATCAACACCACATAGGTAACTGGTAACATGATCT